TTGAGTTTTTTCTCTAATCAGTTTTATGATAGGTGCTATAACTTAAATTCATTTTGAAGCCACTCTGTGCCCTTATTCCATTATGTTTTAATTGTTGTACTACTTCGTCTTTATTTACTGTTATTAATATGATGTCATTAATCGCAACGAAAGTTTAATGTTGCATGAAAATCATGATGTACCCTACACGCCCATATATTCTAGTTAGTGGCATTCATTCTAACAGTTTCCAATCCATAACAACGAATTTGGCACACTTCCTACTCAAATGTGAAAAGGCCTTTCTTGAAATGACAGTAATCTCTTAGAGGTCATGTGTACTACAGCGCCTTACGAGACTAAAATAGGGTGTTTCAGTAGTCCCCAATCAACAGTGGTTCATAAACCCTTTTACGCAACAACGCAAAATGCTCCCCTTCAATCCGTAAAAAGAAGGCAAGATTTCTGGGCATGTCACTTCAGTTTTTGCTGAATGACATCAACTTCTCCATGTCCATTTATGTAATCAAACTGCTTTGAACACAATTAGGTAACTTAGATAGCTCTACCTATAGCCTATAGAATTGGGACTACCAGTCTCATCAATCACGACAACATCTAGTTTTCCGAAAATACAACAGTTTTAAAAAATGTTAAAATTCTGATCCCGTGATATGAAAAAACATCATGAAATACTTCTAAATATGCAAAATCGGGAGAATATTCCACTTTTATAAGACAATCCATTTGAATAGTACTTATAAAATGAGAAGAGGATCGAAGCTGAGAAAGGTGCTATAAAATGTCAGAAGTTTAGAGCTGCAATAATTTGGTGCCGTTTTAGGCCAATCTGGAGGGTGTCGTTATCATTAAAAGCGACGGAACGGTCAAGGCTTGACACACATGATGGTTGTCCGCCAAAAGTTCCTGTCCAAGCACGTCGGACAAGTCCAGCCATAGACAACCCTACGACTTCTTTGAGGTCAGTTTCCAGCTTCAGTCGCGGGTTCCCTCTTCCTCTTTTGCTGCTTACTACGCCTGTCTGTATGTAATTTTCCAGACCCTTGCAGCAGGTGCACTAATTCTCAAACATCAGACAGAATTGAGAAGTTATGCATCAAAGCCAGGGTGGGGTAAAAAAAACTTTCAGAGGGGGTAGCCTCAGACCCTCTTTTCTTTTCTATTCGTAAAATTATCCCCTTTCTGTCCTCGCATACTTCTGACATTCTATTTTTTCAGTAGACCCAGAAATATCAAAGATTTTGGGCTAATTTTAACCCCTCCATATTGATATAATTGACGGGAAATCATTCCATCCAAAACAAGAATTTGGCTTATCGACAGCATTGCCAGAATAAATAGCCATAGATAAACATGTTAAATCTGAGTTAGAGCACTTACCTGATTTTCATTATTCTTTGCTCCTTTTCTATCCTTCAATCTCTCCATTCATAAAGTATTCTCTTGCTGTTTTCTCTATTTTTTTCTAGATTTTGGAAAAATATATCGTTACACAAGGGCGGCCAAACCAAGTATTCCTGACCTGGGGGACCTGAACTATTTAGTTATGCCATCAAACATCAAGTTTTTGAAAAATTGTGAAGCAGTAGCAAGGACTGCACAATGCTATGTTCTCTCAATGCGATCTTAAGGACAATTACTAGGGCAATGCAGACTGGCTGACTATCAACTGCATGCCCTTGTAACCTATGGTGTCCATATGTAATACTTTCAATTCTGTGTAATACATCATGGGGAAGAGGCATTTGACGCATTGACATACAAGTGGGGTAAATCCATATTTTCAGGACATATTTTCAGAAAATATAAAAAAAATTATATCTGATACTTTGATGTTACAGATTAAAGTTAATTGTGCTCTGTCAGAGTTTTGTGAAACTAAAATACCAAGGATTTGATCATATTGAGTTGTCTAGCAGAGAAAACTGATGTTTGAAAGTTATAGAAAACAAGGTCCAATAATTTGGGTTAGCCTCAAACTGTGCTAGATTGGCTCCATAAAAAACATATCAAGATCAAATTGTATATTGGGTAATACTAAGGGTAATATGGAGAAAAAAACATAATTCTATTGCATGCTGTTGATTATATAATATTGCAAACACTTCCTCAATCTTAATATCAAGAATCACATTGCATACAGCAGAATAAATTGTTAATATTTTGTTTATATTTTGTTTATATCATAAATTGTTAATATTTTATTTGATTTTTTGGTAAACCTGCATTGATCAGAAATTTGGTTTTCTATTTTGAAATCTTTTTTAAAATAATGCAGTTCAAATTATTAGCTTGCTCAAAATTAAAGTTTGTAGTATTTTCAAAAACAGGTTCCACAAGCAGATTTTGGAATTGCCGTAGCTACAATAGAACTCTAGTCTTGCAATATAGTGGACTTGACATTTGAATTGTTAATGATGGTGAAACCCTAATAAGTAATATAATTTTCGGAAAATATAATCGTTTTTTTCAGAATTTCGCATACTTTCTCTAAAAGTGAAACAAATTTAATTTGCTTACGTTACTATCGACAGTTTCTAAATTCAGCATTCTGCACGACAAGCTGGATGACCTGAGACAAGCAGTAAGTTTTGAACACAAAAAGTGCGACCCTGCTGGGTTGCACGTAGGGAAAGTTTGGTGACCACCCGATGACCATTACCTACACTCTTGTAAGTAAATTATATTCGATGACCACCCAGTGAACACTGGTAACTAATATATTTTTCTTCTATAAGAAAATGGAACTATTCTTTGTCAAACTTCGGGTAACAAAACGCCTTAAATGTTCACTCACAGAGAACAATCATGCAATGCTATCCAGACAAATTAACTTGGATCTACTTACTCCATTATCATCAAAAAATAAAGCTAAGTTGAAACAAACATAAGAAATTATGCATAAACACCTACCGATCGTGTTTTTGTCGACCTTATAGCATCCGCCATTTTTTATTCTCACGTGGGCAGTAAAGCGAGGGTGAGCCTCGTAACTGTTTCAAAAGGGCAGTCAGTGACTGACTACTGACTACTGGATCCCAAAGTAATTTAATTTAAACCCTACCTTTTCCCTTCCAATTTAAATTAAAACAAAATAAAATGGCCGAGCGATTAACGTGGAATTTAGATGGCCGATCATGTTATTGCATTCCCAAAGCCAATTTTATACCATGAAACCAAACTCCTACATTTCATTATGGTCACCAAGTCGAATATGTTCAAAGATTTTCACAACTGTCAAAGAAGAATTCCATTCGCACAACGGTCTGAGGATATTCAGGCTTTGAAGCCCTACCCCAAGCCTACCACCGACGAAGGTGTAATATTTTTGTTGTTAATTCAAAATACACAATCAAATTCTAATTATCTAATGTTTTCTAGGACACCAGGAATAGCCTCATCGGATCGAGAAAAAAAACAAAGAACATTAGCGCTATGAATTAGTCTAAAACAGTGCGAAAATCGAAGACTGGCAAAGAAATATGTAACAAATAGAAACACAACTGTTTAACACTCAACTGAAGCTCCAGCTAGCTTTAAAACAAACTGACACAAAGTTGAGTGGGAATCCAATAAACATACCTCTGCTCATTTAGATCTTGTTATCAACCTCAAGGTACTACCATACTGTGAAACAATTTAAGAAAATACGTTCTCTTTGAAATATCGATCTTGTTTGTTTCAGAAAGAAGCTGCTCAGTGGTAAATTGAATCTAGGGATGTTTTGCTTCGGGGTTTTGAAAATCTTTGTATCCATAACTTGACAGTCAGTTTTATCAGGAAAACTTTCTCAAGATACAAGCCTCAACGAGATGAAATGTTTACACAAACCCAATATTCAAATAAACTAAATTTCATGTAAAATTGCTGAGTTATATATTCATAGAACTTCATTATCAATCTACCTATAAAATAAAATCTTTTTCTTACATATTTTTGCAGTGGATTTTCCTGTACAACTGTAGCATGTCACTTGGCTACATCACCTTGCATTGGTGTCTTTCCATTCGAGAGTTGAAAGCTTAAAATCTCTCGTCTTTTTTCTATGCTTTCCAAAGCATATTCAAAACAAATTTCACACGATTTAACGTAATTCAAATACAATGACACCTTATGCAGCTGAGAGAAACTAAATGGTCACAGAAGGATTTTTTTACCATCCCAAAAATGAAGGTACTGAAATCAGGCCTGCCTGCTTTATTATAAGCTTCTTTGCATCCTCTGTAAGTTACGATGAAAAGATCTGTTCAGCTGCTTTTTTCAGCTGCATTGGAAGGTTGAAATCTATGATAGACCAATTGATATATAGCCTAAGATACCAGTTGTTGTCCTGATTGAATATATTCTGATTAATAAGCTATTTGTTGAAGCACCAATTACCTTTATCTTTGTTCGATCCTCATAGGTACTCGAACTTGTGCTCTCTTCGTTTAACATGGATTGGATGTAGTAGTTCCTTGATCTCTCTGCTAATGAAACGCCCAGAAACCAACATTACTGGCTTGATGTATGTAAACAATGGATCTATCTTGTGGCAACGAGTGAGACTATTTTACAAGCCATAAGATTATCTAAACCTCAAGAACAAATAACGACTTTGCTTAGTTCTACAGGCTTGTCAATCTTGATCGTCACGAAGCCTTCTGATCGCTTAGTACAACATCTTTTAAATACGGCTTGTTTGCACCAACAGGCTCTAAATCGATTAATGTAACCAGAAAAGCTTCAAAGACACCTTGCATTGATCTGGCAATCTATCCATTAAGATGAGAGAGATTTTTCACAAAACCGTTCAATTCATTAAAAGAAAAAGCAAAAATTTCACCATCATTTCGGGTGAAACAGCGTCCCACCTAAAATTTTGCCTTCCTTCATTGAAAGTTTATACCTCATGGTGAAAGCATATGACTTTTCAGGTAGTTCACAATTCCTAAATGTCCCAAAAATGCCTTCCATTAAAACATTATTCCAGAAAAATGACTTTAAGAAAAAGAAATCAATCAATTCCAAGAAATAAACTCATTAGCTCGTATGCCTTGAACTGCTGTCATTAGACACTGCTTGTTTAAGCATTTTTAATATTAAAAACATGTGTGTTTTACTGCTTTTGTAACAAAGAAAAATAAAAAAATGAAATGAAAGCAAGACTGTTCAGTTCAGAAGAGGATAAAAACTATTGGCCTAAAACTTGAATCATTTACTTTCGAACTCGATAAGCAAGAGATTGAAAGCATTCAAGTTAAGTCACATTATTAAGTCTGTTTGCAACGAGGAGATTCTAATTCCTACAGCAGCATGGAAATATCCTGTAGAATATTACGATTTCTTGAAGAAAATATTCATGAATAATACGTCAGCCTGTTCTTGTGTTTTAAACTTTTGTCCTTGGTATTCATCTTTTTTCACTGCGGCTTGAGACCACCATAAACCTGAAACAGCAAAACTTTGCTAAGACTTGGCGAAATATCAAGAAAAAGGTTAATGCCGTAAGTAGTAATTCTCGTCTTCAAAACGATGTTAACAACTTATATAACGATTATCATCTGAGAGCAGCATTTCTTCTATATAGTTAATATCTAAAAATTTGAAATAAAATTAACTAACAATAACAACATTTTCATGCATTGGTGTTGAACAATGTAGTGCTAAGTTGCAAGTCTTGAGTTTCAATTTGAATGCGATTACCAAAGAAATGTGGGACTACAAGCCAATGATTCCATAAAACACTGGGCCGGCGAAACCGGGGGGGGGGGGGACCGGGGGCCATGCCCCCCCACTTTTCTGCAGAGCTAAAGAAAAATTTTAGGCAAAAGTGAAAATTAAATGTAGTATGATTCTGTAACCAACTTTGCTTAGTATTCTCTTAAATGTGTCCTTAGCTTTACTTTGGTTGCTATGTCTTTACCATAGAAGACATACATAAAATTGAATATGGGAATTAGATGGAAGAAATCAGTCATTGTCTAAGTTTTACAACGAGTAACAGCTTGGCTTAGCAAATAGATCGAGAAATCTAGTCCAGAATAACTTGGTGCCAGCACAAATTGACGGAGTTTCGTTTTTCCCATTGCCTAAACTTGGCACACAAGGTCTATTTGTTAACGAAAACTTTCTCAGAAACATTACAAAAAGAGAGAAATCAGCTGTTGAAGGAAAAGAAACAGTTGGAAAGAGCTTTTTGAGAATATGAGAAATAAAGTAAGGGCAGATTTTTTCTTAAAAAGTATCATCAAGAAAACTTCAGAGTTTGATCGTTTGGATAATCCATTCCTACTAAGAAAGAGAAAATAACAACGCAATAATAAATTCTATTTAAACTCATTTTGACAAGCCCAGTTTGAAGATTTTTCAAATTTTTGTTAAAGCACTTAATTTCCGAAAAAGTTATAATCAGATGTTGCAAAGTTATATCTTAACTGTACAAAATTGCTTGACTTTTTATTTTTAGTTTATAGTTCTTCTGTTGATATTTCAACGTTAATGCTTTTATTAATCCGTGTTTCATTTATTTTCTCCCCCATCTTATTTCGGGTACTTTAAAATCTAAAAAAGGCTTCATTACGAGCTATATTATAGTGGTTATTCTAAAACTTTGCAAAACTTATCTATTTCAAGTCAACATCACAATAGATGCGACAATGTGACACCTTCAGTCAAAATTCATTTTAGTTACAGTTTCTGGCCATCCTTAAGACACCATAATTCTAAAATTTTTCTTGCCGCCAACCATGGTGGCGGCCTTTTCTAAGCCCTTTCAAGACTTTGATATTTGGCCCCTCCACTTTCAAATACGTTTCGCCGGCCCTGAAACAGTAACTTTTTGTTAGAAAAAAAGGAACAATAGAAACTAACTATAGTGATTGAGCTATAGAAGGATAACAACCGACCCAGCAAACCTCAATTTAGGACAAAATTGCATAAAATCTTAAAAACCGTAAGCGATTGGATGAAACACTTTTGCCTAGGAGGACAGCTGAAAAGTTCATAAAAAAGTAGCCAGAATTGAAAGGAGATGGGTTTGGATGGAAGGGAAGGATTTCTCACCTCAGCCGGAACCTGCTTTTGCTCTAACTGGATATCTACAATGAAACAATCATAAATAGAAAGAGTGAAAGGGAAATAAAAACATGCTCATTAAATACAAGCTATTATTTATAGACCAATGTCAAAATACGCTGCAGATGTATTATATGTAAAGGCAAGAAACGAATAAAGCAACAGCAACAAGCTTAGCTATTAAACTCGAGAGGCGTATGGTATACATTTTGTAATTGATCTCATCAGGATTGACAAGATACGTTTATCATTGCACGCTCAGTTTAGCTTTTAAAAATAAGAGCACTGGAAGACTGAAAAACTGAATTACCGTCTCTTTGGTCCTCTTCGTCACTGCTGTCATCATCTTCATCTTCTAGACTTATTTCTTCTGGATTGACCGTTGTGGCAACGTCACTCAATTCAGCCGGCTGTGTCGTCTCACCCCTTTCAGTACAAAGAAAAACAGCTACAAAAGTCTGCGCTTGAAACGAGCGATTAATGTTGGTTTATTGCACAGGTAAAATTAAATACACAATAGGAAAATAATTATGGAGAAGGTATTTTCTTATAGCAAAGAAGCAAGAAAAATGTTGCCTCTAAAGTTACTTGGTCTTAGAATGTCACCACAAAAAAGAGAAATAGAAAAAAGTGTGTGAAAAAATATTTGAGTCTATGAAAGATTCGAAAATCTCAAAATTGTACCAAGTACAGGAAACATATAGGCATGGCCAGAGCTTGAAATACGTATGTCTGAGTAACTAACTCTACAGCAGAGTGTTGACCAAAGGTCATGGACAAGGAAGGACATGGAATAGTAAGGATAAGTAAAAGTATTTCTGTTATGAGAAAAAATTGATAAGGAACAATAACATAAGGAAAGATAAGCTGGAATATGTTAATAATGAAGGTTTAACTTCATGCTTACCTGACAAACAAAACGCCTTTTTGATTGGCTGCAGCAGATGGTTTGTCTTTCTTCGCTTCTTCGGCCAAGACATTAGCAGCAGCTTCCAGTTTCTCCATTTCATTCTTTGATTCGTCATCTTTTAGATGAAAGCAAAAAAATTAGAACTTTTATGTCTCCAACTGTAGGGTGCAACATCAAAGGTTAAGAGACTTTGTAGAAAAGTCGTCAAGAAAAAATGATCATTAAGATATTGCAATGGTAAAAAGCTCTAAGATATTATATTTCTTACACATACTACATAAATACCAAAATATTTCAACAATTAGTTTTTGATATACGATTTAAAGATACTTAGTATCGAGTCTGTTAATTTTTATCACAGTTTATAAGCATCACTCATTGAAAAAAATATGTTAGCAACAAGGAGCAGATGAAGAGGTAATTATTTTTAACCATTTGATTGCAAAAACATTTGAGTTGAAAGCCCTCACTTACCTTCAAGGATCTTAAGGGGATTATGCACCAACCTTACAACCCACCTTGTTTTCTCTGTGTTTTGACTAAGATTTTTAAACTTGTGGAAATTGTGTTAAACTGATGTCTTATATCCAGAAGCAATAAAAGCGAGCACCTCTTGGTATGAATCGGATTTAAAGGTGCCTTCCGTAAAAACAAATATAACAGCTTTTTGGAGGTACAAAATTTGAAAATGGCTTTGAAAAAAGCAAAAAATTCACAAAATACGACTTAAAGCTTTTTCGTCTGTTTCAAAGCCATTTTCAAATATCAGTCACGTTAAATAGCCCCAAATATAGAAATTTTCCTAACCACGAAACAAAGAACATGCCATTATTGCCACATCAGTGGATACGTTAATTACGTTTGTGGAAAATACCACCTGGCTTTAACATACAAATAACCATGCTCTAAAGAAAGAGCATCACACAATTCGAGATGAAGCTTTCAAAATTACCTTTAGCTGCTGCTTGAGCTGCCAACAGTTGAGCTGACATGAAATTGACCTTCAATGCAACAGAAAAATGGAGATAATGGAATAATTTGAAGTTTCATTACTTGCCTAGACTTAATCAATTATTAAGAATTGACACACAGTCTAATTTAGATTAAGAATCATAAAAGACAAGAAAAAATACCATTAAGGAGTAAACAAGGATAACACACTAATATCATTCTTGTGAATCTTTTTTCCATATATCTTTTCAAAATACTTCGGGCTAATAATCACTAATTCGGATTAATAGATTAAATAAAGTTTGTTAAAAGCAACATAAAGACAACAATCAAAGATACATGTAGATAAAATGAAAAAAAACTATAAAATTTTTAGTTTTCTTTTCACTTTCACTTTTCATTAGAAATAGTAGAAGCTTCAAACTTAGCCTACAGTGCGCAAAAGCCCTCCGATTTTTGTCGTAAATTTAGACATTTTTAGACCAATGAAAATTGAAGATAACGAGGCCGAGTATACATAGCTTGAAACGAACAGGGTGTTATTTTTTACTTGACCGTGTGACTATTGGTCACAGGCAATCCCAGTTGAAACATTTTTCTCACAAGAAGTTTTCAACCATGGATAAATATTTGAACGGTTTTATACACTTTGCAAGAGTTTAGGCAGTTTGGAAGCAATCAAAATAAAAATGCTTGCAATAGATTACATTTATTACATTGAGAAAGGTCACAACTATGTTTAGAATAGTAATAATGTGCTAGGGGAGCTCAAGGGGATCAGCTTCCTTTGCAAAAAGTGGCAAATTAGCTCATAATTGCTTTTTCATTACGACCCCTACTGTTAGGAGTGTTTGAGATATTTTTCAAATGCAGGCTATGAAGAAAGTGCTATATAGAAAGAACCAACCACCCGTACCGTATCATTTGCAAGATTTTCCTGCTCGTACCTCACTCACAAGACTACAAATATATCTCTTTTGTACATAATTAAAGTTTTTGGAGTCAATCTTTCATAAAATCGCTTCAATCATCAAGACGCAGGAATTGCCATTTTATAGCTCACTCATTTTTGCACGAATGACAATATTTTTCATTAGCTTGCCTACGCTTTTTGAAAGAGTTTTGATACTAATGTTCATTATAAGCAGGACCACTTAGAAAGGTGACAAGGGGGCAAATTGCCCCAGGGGCCTCATAAAGTAATGAATTCAAGACATTGTTGGAATGTATTTAATCAAACGTAGCAAAAGTAAAATGTTTAAAACGATTCTCTGCAGCCGTGATTATAAATATGGCAAAAAATTTCTGCGAAAATCTGAAATTCTAATTTTTATTTAAGACTCCTTTATGTCTTCAACAACATAATTCTGTTGCATTATTGAGGTTTTTAAACCACAACTTCCAAATCTTTTTGACAGGAAATTTTCTTCAGAAAGTTTACGGTCACAAGAAGTCTTTAAAAAAATAACACTCTGGAAACGAAAAGATGCTGCTTCCTTTCTAAAGTGAAATTTAAATCTTAGGAGACACTTTGTGTGACTGATCGTGCCAAGACTGCCTTGAAACAACATATGACGTCATAGCATATGAAAGCTGGTGTCATACTTGCAGTTGAAACTAGCTTAAAAGATCCTTATAGCTGTCGTGAATGCAGTGTTTTTAGTGTAAATTTATAAGTAAAAAAACCTTTGTCTTACTCTTAAAACAGAAATAAGCATAATAAATGCCATCAAAAGCTACCTGAGTATTATATTGTGCCTGCACTGTCCTTTTTATCCTCAGCATTTCCCTAAATGTGTCTTCGTTTCCATGTCTAACTTCAAAGTCGTGCCAAGTTTTCCAAAAATTCCCACTTGTCTAAAATAGCAGCACAACATTCAAATCAAATATCAATTCTAAGCTTCCAGCTGTAAATAAGAGCTTTCAATCATCTTTTACTCCTTGAATATACATAGATGCAGCAGTGTGATAATAAAAGACATTAATTTTGCACATCATAACATATTCTACACCAATTGGGATGAATCACAAAAAACAGCGAAACAAAAAAACCATATTCATGACAGTGACATCATCTAGAGAAAACTTCCGCTTTGGATGACCAACATGCTCTATAGATAAAAGTTAAGTTGAAAATAGAAATGAAAATCTTTTACATTCATGTGTTTTTCATGTAGCAGGAAACACCAAAATTGAGAGAAGAACTGATAAGAAATCTTCTTTCGGCATATTATTAAACGTAACCGATCTGACTTGAAAAACTTTCTTGCAGAGTTAAGTATAGCGAAATAGAAATTATTACCCTCGGGTCACACATTTGTGATGAGTAACTGTAGATTGCGCGGGCTCTGTCAATTTCTCCAAGTTTTTTCTCCAAGTCTGCATATCTTGTACAAATCTCACTAAAAAGAATTGTCTCATATTGAAGAAAAGGCCAGAAAAGGACTGCACAACAAAAATTTTAAGTATTTACTGTAGACTTATTTTGGAATATCAAAGACAAAAATATTTCGAAACTCTGAATTACGCACCAAGAGTGTTTAGATCAAAAGAGGCAAAGACAAAGTTTGACTGTAAAACCAAAGTAATATTTGAAATGAAGATAATCCTTTAATCGAAACTTTTTAGAAGAGTAAAGTGTACTTAACATAATGAGAGCTAGTTTGGGTTCAATTTAACCCAAAATCAACGAGGTTATTCTTGAACTTAATACAACTGCAACATTTTCACTTACCCTAGAAGGATAATGCAAGTCCCAAAATCTAAATAACTTTAGAACCTACAGTATTACTTTGAGAGAACCCCTTTTTAAAAAGGCCTGGTTGGCATGAGCACCCAATTCAGCTTTTCTTTTAAACATAGAAAATAAAGAAGATCATTAAATCTCTACTTATGGTACAAAGACATTTTGCAAGTTTTGCTTTCTGAAATCGTAAGGCAAAAGCAGAGAACAGAATCTTTCTTTCTAAGAAGTTAGTTTCAGAACCTCAGCACACCTCATTCCGAGAATATTTGAAGGTGTCTTTTGAACGCACAACCAGACAAGTTCCACTTTCTCTTTCGCCTGTTGCCTCTACACACAAATCATACAGAGGTGATATTTCTATTACGACGCTTTTATGCAACCGGTTTTTTTCTTTATTGTGAAACCTCTTCTCGGTTACAAATAAAAGTCCAAAAATACAAACAAAAAAGAAATACAGTGACTATGGAAGAAGCAGAAACACCACAAAAACAATTAACACATACCGAGCAAATTCATTTGGTAAAGCTTCAATTGCTTTTTCGTAGATATCTCTCGTATGTGTGACCCCAAATATCTCTGCAGCTCTTTTAATATAGATGTTGAATATCTAAAACAAAAATAAAACTCTACAATGCTTATCTAAAAATTTTACAAAAAGATTTAGACACGCAATACAAAATATTTTAGGAATGCTGCAACTGATCCACAAATCCCAGTTAAGAAGACATGCAGTGGTTAACGAGCTTGCTCATATCATGGAATGAACTCTAAAAAATGCACATTTTAAACTCTCCGGAAACAAATGCTTTAGTTCCAAAAACCTGATAAAGTTCGCCTAGTAGATATGCCTACAATTGTTGTCTTTTTACGTCTGCATTGGTATTAGCATACTAACAGAACTGCTTCACAACGAGCCAGCAAGGCGGCTACTCGTTCCCTCTCAAAAAGCAAGCGTTCCAATTTCCCCTCTTTTGTCTTTAAGTGATGAATTTTATAGCAACTTCTTGAAAAGGTCTGAGCAAGTGAAAATTAAGACATTTGAATATAATTGTAATGTAATGAGAGAAGTTATCACGAAAAGAATAACAATGGGGTATTAAATAGATCATAACCTCGTATTGTTCATTGGGTGGAAGTGATGTCGAAGCTCGATCGTAGACTGCCATCGCATGTCTTGCAAGACCATGCTCCTCCTCCAACTTCGCGTACATGAGAAAAAACGGTTTGGCATTCTTCGGAGGACAGTTTTCTAAACACTGTTCAAATAGATCGCGCGCTCGTTCTAATTTTGTTCCACCCTTAAATGACAACAAAGAGATGACATAACACAAAGAGATGACATGCGATGACACGATGAGATGACTTGTGAAGACACGAAGAGATGACAAATATTTATTGCTTGTTTTCTCGTCTAAAAATTTGCAGAGGCAAATTTAGCAAATAAAAATAGCCCTTGTACTTTAAGCAGAGTGAAATTAAACTGAATATTTTGAACCCGGCATTTATTAAGATTGTTTATATGGCATAGCACCAAAATGAACCGATTTGTTTGATCGAGCGATAAAAGCAGGTTTGGTCATCTTTGACATTGAACCTTCATGGACTTCCCGTAGAATAGTTACAGAAATAAAGTGAAAAAAGAAAACAGAAAAAACAGAGTGAAAACGGAATCTCCAAATAGATAAAGTCAACAAACGATTTTCTGCTCTTCTCTTTCTATGGATATTTTAATAATGTTGAATTGATACCCTAACAAAAACTATTCCTTAGAGTTTCAGAGGATAATTCCGTGGCAAATTTTTCAAAGATTTGGACTCGACCACTACTAAGATATAAGCAGTCTGGATGCATCAGTCGAAAATGGAAGTTTACGTACGTAACGCTTGGAGAACTTTGTGAGGTAAGTGTTCCATATGTCGTTAACATGGGGCCATTTGAACAATGCGATGCCTCGCTCAAATGCCTACAAGGAGATACAATAAAGAAATCAAAAAAATACAAAGAAAAATAAAGAAAGGTTTTTTAAATAGAACTGGGAAACTGTTTCCAGTGTATATGAAATTTCATCTGTCAGACTTTAAAACGTCAGGATAACTATTGAAAATTTCAAAGCTAGTAAAAAAAATTCTAAGCTAATTGCAACTCGCATTTTTACTTTAATTATAAGGATCTTGATATACAGGGAATAAAACGAGTAACAGAGTAGCCAGAGGAATCGCCATACAAGATACAAATCAAGGTATTTTACAAAGTATCAGTGAGTATCAGTAAAGGTTTTGAATCCATTGGTTAGGTTTTATTAAAATAAGTCGATGAAATATTTTCAGGATCAAAGGCATTGAGCCATGATAGAAAAGAAGCTATACCCAAATACGCCGAGTCGTGATTTTCGTTTGCAATGATATTGTTGGGCCTGACACTGATCATGTGAAGTTGCCTTGTACTGATTAACAAAACAAAGCAAGTTGTTCGCAACGGATGCTGCTAACACAAAAAAAATTACAGTGATCACGCCAAAAGCAAATGACCCCTATAGAGAAAGCCTATCTAACATGACTCAATGCTTTCAATTTTCCGAAATTCGATCGGATAACATCCTATCAGTCTTAAATCTATGGGTGTAGCATCAACAAAGTTTATTTGCATTCAATGATAAATCATTCAAAGCGTAAGCACTTTACCTTGAAAGACTCTTCAAAATAATTGTGCTCTTCAAGGAATGAAGCATAGTTAAGAATAATTTGTGGGTTTGCAATCCGCAAATCGATGACTCGATTGTAAACAGCCTTTGTTGACTAATAGAGAAACAAAAGAGAGACACTGTTACAAAAGAAGCAGAAAAATTAAAATTTGAAGAAGGATGAGGTACTTTCATTTACCTTGGATTTTCTATGAGGAATGTAAATTAATGCTACTGCACGCAATAAGGTTACATGTGCTTGAAACAGCTTTGACAAGCTTCTTCTATATCGTCATACCTATCCTGGTCGCATCCATCCTGGATCAAAATGGATATATCAATCAGCAATTTGTATGGGTTTTGTATGAAGCCTTGAAAGCTTCTTATTTCGCCAGCTAATGGAGGGGGGTGATACTTTCAGTGTTGTTTCACATTTATCATACGATCATTCTGTCTTTTTCAAAGGGTATCTCACCAACAAGACGTGAAAAAAATAACGTATTAGGAAACTTTACAATCAAAAAATCGTTTACGATCAATTTATTACTGAACAAAAAATTTCAAATTTTAAAAAATTGTTCAGCATGGTAGACGCTGCTATAAATCAAACTAATATGTTTTAGCACAAAACCCCTATTATATTATTTTATAGGATAACAAAATTCATCAAATTAAATTCATCTCATATCAAGTTAAGAGGCGTGCCATACCTGGAAAGTGCCAAGACTCTCCTCTAAATCCGCATACATGGACCACAATTTAAGGGACTTGTGAACACGATCTTGAACTTTTTCTCTCTGCAAGCAGACATTTATTCCTTTAAATTAAAACAACTCAAAAGGGAACAAAAACTAGCACGGTAAGCTAAAATATTTCTAAGAAACAGAACAAAAGGTCTTCTATTACGAGGAATAGAGTAAGTCCCCGCAAATAAGAAACTAGCTTTTCTCTACCCAGCTCATAAAAGTGACACTTCTTTGGAGTGTTTTCTGTTTTAGGCTACAAATTCCTTTAAAGTTACTTTAATTCTCCAAGGAAGACTACCATGTTTTGGTAAAATTGTTACTGTACTATATGATTTGCCATAAAAATTGTATTCTAAACCATTAAAAAGTGTATTTGAATTAAAAATGAGTGTTGTTATTCTTAAATTTAAAGCATTCTGTCACACAAAATATCATCCACATACAAGAACCTTCTACTACCCTTTAACATAAAAAGTTTCTTATAAACTACTAGAGCCTTTCAGAAAATATCTTGTTGTTTCTTAAAAGTTGTTTTTTATTTGCGGAGCCTTACTACTGTATACTATGTGTCGCACAAAATATCTTATCATTTTCAAGATTATTCACTTTCAGAGATGCAGAACATTAAAAGTCGACAAAGAATTAGAATCCGTTATAGATGTCGTGATAAACGCTAAAACATCTTCTGGTGGTAATGGTTTTACAAAAAAAGATTCTTTCCATTAGCTTATCAAATTAGACAGCAAGTAGAGGAAGTGAACCATTTTAATAGAATATTTCATTGTGGTACTTAGTTAATTAATATTTGCTGAAAAAACGATAATATTATTAACTGCGCGTAATGGAAGTTAAAGCAATCTAGGAATATTGCATTAAAAGAATTTCACTCCAGGTTTCTTTTCATTTTAACAATTCTTGATACAGATCTTTATGCTAGCCTAATAGACAAAGCTAAAATTGCCATTTTCTAAGAATTGCAAGATAGGAAAATAGTAACAGACTTTCACCATATATCGATTATCAATATAAGCAGATAGCTGACTTGGTTGAAGGAAACGTGAAGGCATTTGTGTTGGATACACACGTGAAAAATACAAAGAGATACGAAGATACGACTAGTATCAATATTTGAGCATATGTCAAGGTTTATAAATGCATGTGAGAGGTATTCAAATTGTTTAGAAAACATCTGCTTTGAACAAAATAGAAGAAATCAAGTTACCTCATCGTGGTAGTTGACGCCAGCTTTCTTTGATGGAATAGCAGTGGCTCTTCTCATCAACCTCAAGGCTTTTTCATAGTTTCTAGAAAATACAGGGTGGGCTTAATCATTTTCGAAATCACTTTTGATTAATAAGAAGTATCATACTTATATCTCTAAAGTAAATCACAAGGAAATTGGGTTATATTATCAATGAAATATAGGATTAATATACTATATTATGATTTACTACTAATATAATGATATCTTTAATATAAATGGGTGATATGCCTTTGTTATATTATTGTCAAAGTCCTGTAAGTTTTCGTCCTTCCACCGGACATATTCGTTATGCTTAGAGAGCTTCTTGAGAAAACAAAGAAAAGGACAACTACTTAAATTTCTTCTGCTATTATTGGCCCTAGCATCATGTTTTCCCGGCTCTCGTCTTAGTAGTTCGACAAATGTAAAAAATTACAGATAAGATTAATTGCGCTTAGGATACTATTAAAAATACTACCTCCTATTTCACATTTTACTACAGCTTGGCAAAACTTTATTTCTGAAATAGTCTTGCAAAGATATCTAGGTTAAATAGTCTTACAAAGGTATCTAGGTGACTACAAAGCAGTGGGTGGCATAGGATGGCAGTGCTTCAACCTAGACAAATTACATCCACTGCAGGGCAAATTTGTACCACATATCATGGTCAGGCTGGGTCAAGACTGAAGAAAATCTCACTACTTACTCTTTCCTTATCTCCATCTCAGCGTATTCACACCAAACTGAAGCAAGATCATCAACTGTCCGGTATTCAACTTTGACAGCCTTCTCAAAAATGATACGGGCCTCATCAATCTGGTCATGGTTTTCATAGAACTTTGCAAACTCTACCCAAAGAGTATGTGGCTTTCCGATGGCCTGTTTAGGGTCGACTGTTTTTACAGCTTCAGTGTACGTATTGATGATTTCGTTAACCTTATCTTCATAAAGAGCTACACGCTTGTGCCACTCGTGAACGTTGTGCGGATTCTGTCGCAACAAGACACTATAAAAGAAGATGTTTAAGTGCATTATGCTTTGTAAACGGGGGTTATAATAAGTAGCGGGCTGAAATCAAAGGTAAAACGGGGGAAGGATAGAAAAATGCACTTCTGTGACAGATTAAATGGTCAGTAATTGCATTACATTTACGGCAATGTATTGAATACAAAAAATGTTAATGCAACATGTTTTATACGTTAAAATAGTTTTTTATTCTTCATAATCTCGCAATCAGTGTTTACTTATTGTGGAAGTAAATTTTGTTTTTTGGTATCGACAAAATTAACTTACTTTATCCTTTAAAAAAACACTCAGCTGAAAAAATAACATAAGTGCATAGGGTTGGTAAAATTTCGAATGACCTTTCATCAAGATATTGTCGTGAACACAAGACGATTGTCAAATCGTTACGTTGCGTAAATATTACTCTACATTGAAATCTTCTGATTCATGGTTAATCTGGTTTGTAAAGATTGATTGGTTGAAACATACCTATTCAATAATAAAGGCCTTCTGTCCATCAAGATTTCGAATCTTGCAAGTCGAAGCTCGAGGTCAATTTCGTCTAGTAAATAGAGTTTTCATGAATTAACGATACACGTTGTATATGGTATGGAATTGTGTGAAGCAAAATACGACTGAGGCAGTGCAACTTCGAACCCGTGTTGATGTAACTAAATAGCTGCTGGTTGTTTGAGCAACTTATCACCTGTGATATCGGTGATTAACCTAAAAACGGCAGCAGAACTGTTCATATTTGTCCAAAACGGGTTGATGTCCAGTAATATGGAAATAGAGCAAGCTTAGCTGACCGAATGATCACAAAAGTAATTCACTACCTCATGAGGGATAATACTGCAAGAAGTATTTCTCTCTTTTTCTTGATATACGATATGAACTTGAAGGAAAATATACAAACAACAAAAAAAGGATCATGAACAAAGCCATTCTATGGTTCTACCCATCATAGTGAGACGTTGAGCAGGGCATCATTGAAACAAATGATCGCAAAAGGCAAACATGTCAATTATTTTATGTCTCAAACAAGCGACTTTAGAGATTTGTTTAAGAAGAAACATTCAAAAGATGAATTACTTCAGCCTTTCCTCGCATATAAGAACCTACGTAATAAGGGCTAGGCAGAATCAGAGCCCTTAGTCATAGGGTAATTAGGTTCAGGGTAAAATGATGCTCAATAGAAGGGTGCATCTGAAAACCTTTTAGGACCCGTCACCATGCGATCATAAATAACTGCATTGAGTAGGCCCTTTAAAGAAGTGTTAACAAATTCTAAACTTAGAATATTGAGAGAAATTTTGGACATATGAACAGTGTAAATAACATGCCGAATATGCACAACAGAATTTGCTGTACTGTTTTACCTTTTAATAACAAATTTGTGACAACATAAGGAATTTTAAAAACTTATTTTTTCATCTAACTGAAAACAAAAACAGGGTCTTAATTACAAGGTTAAAAATAGCCTTTACGTTTTTCTTTGTAGGTTCTTAGATGCGAAGAGAAATATTATCTGAAATTTTTTGCCATTGACAAACAACCACATAAAACCACAGTAATATTGCCTTTTCTGTGGCACTTACCTTCCTCTGTCATCGTTGCTTCCGTTGAACTCTCCATCTTTGAGTTGATAATACCCTCTTCGAATTGAGCATAAGCATCGAAAACCTAAAAGTTAAAAGAATCAGATTCATTGCATCACTAAAAGCAGAAATTCATTTCGATGGAAAGTGTCCATTATAGAATTGGTTAGAAAACAAGGACCTTTCAGTAGCATAATGGCTGTGTCATGAATAAAAAAACTGAACCAAAATGAATAAGATTTGTGTTCCTTAATTGGAAATTTTACAAGATCAAGAACAAAGGTCCTGAACTTGCTTTACAAAGATAAGACAGTAGCCGAAAAGCCCCGTGAATTGTTCAGCGAACGGACTGTCAAAGCTGCAAAGGGCATATATATAATACCTTAAATGACTGTGATTATGAGCTCACTTCCAGGAGAACACTTAAAGGTAATGTGTCCAGCTAAAGCAAGCGACTCTGCGGGGTTTTTCAGAAACATGTGATTTTTCATGTCATCGCCCCAGTCATTACGGTCGTTCTGTTTATTTATCCTGCTGCGAGGTTAGCTTTTCATGTGAGCAGTTTTGCCTCGCAAGAATACTAACCAATCGCAAACCGTTATTTTGATGGGTGGCTTGACAAGTTGGGTATACGCAGTCCTTTTATATGGACACATTACCTTAAGAAAGTAAGAAATTCACTTGAAACTGATAAGGTACGAGAGTTACGAGTTACAGTGAAAACCCCCATATAAGAGCCTGGGTTTTTTCAGTTAGCCTAAACAGGTTCTTATATGAGTGGTACTTAAAGTGAATTTAGGGTACCGAGGTTCTTAAAATAGGTTCTTAAATTTATGTAACAAGATCAGAATTTTCATTCATGCAGTAATATTATACCTAAAGCCAGTACAAAACAAATATAGAGTCAAACAAACTCATACCAAATACTCTGAAATGTCATTCAGAAGACAAGGTTTATATGTGGAAAACTTGGAATAAATAAAAATTAAAATTCTGTAGTTTGCAAATGCTGAATATTAAGATATTTCATTAGAATGATGGAAACAATAGACACAGTATAGTGCGCTGGCTTCAAAGAAAAATTGTTTTGCAAAGTTAATTTTAGATATAAGCAGGTAATGATACTTTATTCAACAGTTTCCACCCAGATACCTTTATAGCAGCTCTACTGGTAAGAATCTTGCAAATTTAGCTTCAAAAGGTTCTTATGTGGAGGAGGCCTAAATACGAAATTATAGCCTAACAGGTTCATAAAATTCCAAGTGTCTTCCCATTTTAGGTAAAAAATTATGGAAAATTTAAAAGAACAAACTATTCTCAATAAAAAGCTTTGTACATACGCATCTTTCAAAACTGTTTATAAGTTTGAGCATTACTTAGACTTGATACCTAGCAAAAAGAAAAGATCCAACTTTGCAAAACTACGTCTCAGTGCCCACAACCTCAGGATTGAAACAGGTAGATACGGGAAAAATCCTATTCCTAGGATTGATAGAAAATGTCCGTATTGTCAATCTTTTAATAAAACTGCTGTGGAGGACGAAATTCATTTTTTATTAGTTTGTCCCCTTTACGAGACTGCTAGGAATTCTATGTTATCTATGATTTATTCAAAATTTCCCAGAATATCATCCCTTGACCTTTGTGATAAGTTTATTTGGTTGATGAGTCAAGAAGATACGGATTGTCTGAGATCGATAGCCAATTTTATATCGCTGGCTTTTGAGTCACGGGAATCTTTTGGGAAGTCCTCTACGTGCATATCCGCGTAACGTAAACTTTCCAGCTCGTCATCATTTTTTTATCTGTTTATCTTTGTATTAGCTGTTTGCTGTTTTCTGAGATTTATTGTTAATTTGTAATTATGTTAACTTGTAAGTATAGTAATTCTGTTTGCTGTTTTCTGAGATTTATTGTTAATTTGTACTTATGTTCTAAGATTTATTATTAATTTGTAATTATGTCAACTTGTATGTATGGTAATTGTGTTGGCGATGGGCCATTTCGGCCTACAAGCCTTATATATAAAAAAAAAAAAAAAAAATTCAGATTCTTATACGCGGGTTTTTACTGTATTCAGAGCAGGCGTGATGCTAATAAACATATAAGATTTTACCTGTCCAAAGTCTCTAACGGTCATTACAGTTTGGATTGCTTCTTCATAAACGTCCCTCGCCTTCTCAAAATCACCAGCCCGTATATAATAATCTGCAAGCGAACACCATAATTGGCCTAGGCCATCCGTGAATCGACGCAGTCCTCCGTGAATGATCTGCCCGACTTTTAAGCTTTTCACCTAGAACCAAACAACGGATAGATAGTTGTGATTGAGAAATGTTTTTTTGAGGAGACAAACCCTTCTATTCTCTAGTAAATTACTGCTAAAACCGACCAAAGTTTTGAATTCAGCCCTTAAAAATATTATGTAATGAAGTACCCCAGTAATAAAGGTGTTCTAGTGTACACAAGGTCTCAAATAATTCCAGAAAAGACAAAAAATAATTTAAATTTCAACATAGAAATCTAACATGAAAATTGCAAGCAAAAAAGCTTTGTTCTGAAAAAACACTCCTTTTTTTAAAAGCATAATCCTCAAAATTAAAATTCAAAAGTTCTAATGTTTCGGTAGTTTTAAAACATCAAAGTGAAGTGATTCTCTTGCTTTTGCTACACTTAAAAACGTTTTTAGCAGCAAAAAGGAAAAGCTGCCAAATTACAAAATCAAACGGTGTCACAATAACAATTAGACTGCAATGGCGAAATTGTAAAAATTTTCATCATTCCCCATTGATAAATACGTTCAAATTTACTTAGTCCAGCTCTTTTATTTTCACAGGTCATATCAAAACATTTATCTATAACTCGTACCTGGCTTGGATTTTTCGACATAAGTTCACACAGTTCGTGCCAAAGCTAAAAAAATAACAGTTTGAAAGTAACAGACAGAGAATTCTAGCTAAACCACTGACATTTATTTCATGCTTTGGATACTTAATGTAAAGAACCAAACAGAAGTTATAAACAGTAAAAATTAAGGTACCAAAAATGAGCTCGTGATTTGTTGTTCCTAAGTTGTGTTTGATTGACATCGAATAAACAAATAGAATATTGAAGTCACATATTGAAGAGCAGCTTTGCTCATGCTTACATCAAATCAAGAAATTTAAATACTGTGAAATCTATTTATTGTTGAATCTCACTCTAAAAGAGTTGTGCAATGGGGATACAGAGGAACGAGAATACAAATCATTTATTACCTGATGATTAGACTTGCCCTTTTTAGAGATGAAATTTTCCTAAAACAGATAGAAATTACGTTACTGTTTATTTCAAAACTGGTAGCGAAAAATCTACCTATAAACAATGCTGAATGAATCAGGAAAGATCAGGAATGATAAAAAGAAATAAGGAAGCCAGCTTAACAAGAAATCGGGACACTATGTTACCAAAGTACAATAGGACGAATCATTCAGATATCCTGCCTTGATGATATGTCCAAATGGAATCCTCTTCTATATTGAGGCCCCTTTGTACCGTTATTAGAAATAGTGCATCGCTTTTCTATTATTACTTATAAAAGATACATATCTGTTCAAATAGAAATACAAGCAGCAGCAACCTTCAATTTTATTCCATCTTCAGGGTCTGTACCGAAACAAGTCTTTTAAAATGACAGTCATTGACCAGCTTTTTAATATATTTGCTTGCTCATTACTTGTCAAACAATCACGAGGCACAACTAAGCATCCTTCAATTTCTGTTTCTTATTTCCTAAATTTATTTATTTCAATCGAAAATTGCAAGCACAATCTATAGAAATGACACGCAATTCTGGTTAAGCGTAACTAATTGCAAGTATTGCGTTATACATTTCTAACGAAGAAAAAAGGGTAGGTTTTTTTTAATTGAAAGAAAATTAATATGTTTTCAGCATCTGTTTGACAGTACGATAAGCAAACTAAAGAACAGCAACGAGCACTTAAATATGAAAAAAGTAAACACTTTCTTCTCTTATTTTCTAAATTTTCCTAATTTCGATTAAAAACTGCAAGCACAATCCAAAGAAACAAAACTCTGGTTATGGGTCGCAAAGTTTATTGCAAGTATTGAGTTTTATATATTTAACGATATAAAAAGAGGGGCGGGTTTTAATTGTAAGAATAATAGCCTGCTGTTAGCAGCTATTTGACAGTACGATAAATAAACCAACTAGCAGCATTTAATAGTCTGAGTTAAAAATATTCAAAAGGAAACGCTTTTATATAAAATATTCTAATATAAGTGTATGATATCTATCTATAAAAATCAATAAATTGCTGAAAGATAACGTATAGCGCTCATAGTGACATAAATTCTAATCACAACCAACTATCTGAAGCAAATATCTACTGTAGCATTACATTTTGCAGGGTTCTAATAAAGCTTTATTAATTTGGATTCTCTTATAATATGAGAAATCTTGGTCATGGCTTTGGCTCAGATATTTCACAATTCACATGCTAAAAGGAATATCCTGGGATTTGGAATGCAAGTAGTCCTATTTCACTGATCACGTGGAAAATCTAATGCCTCAAAAATTCTATGCATGGAGCTAGGATATTTTGTTAAGTATATTTGAATAATCAAGAATGGTAATTGCTGCGATAAATGAAACAAAATCATCAGGTTGGCAACAAACGATTTGATGATCTCTTTGTTTAGCTGACGATGTCATTTTATTGTAAAAGTATATTTGAAATTTACAAATTAATCCACTAAAAGATTCAGAACCCTATTCTATTAAAAACATCCAATTAACCCGAGCATAAAGTGGTATTATCAAACCTGAGCGATCAAATTGAGCATTAACAGAAGAAGATGAAAAAAAGCCTCGAAACTTCAATACTAAAATGACCCATCTATATTTGATGAAGCAATCTTAACTTACAGAAAGGAAAAGAAGTACGCATGAGACTCCACAGTCTTAACCTATATCTTCACATTCCTTCACATAATTTTGGAAATTCATTTCCCTCTCTTAAATTTTCTGCCGATACAGAAAACGACTGGTCATTCAACTGCATTAAAATTTGATTAGATAACTTTACAAAATGTTTTCTCTTCATAATCATCCCTATTTCTGCCATTTCTAATAATTTTGATAAAGTTTAGGTCATTTCAGTAAGGCTTGGCTCCCAGAGTTGGGCTTTAAACAAAGTTTCAATTATCTGATTTGACCTGTATCAACATTAAACAAGCCTGAAGGAAGTACAAGGCACAAAATATATAACTAGCCCTTACCGTGAGGGTTATGAATAGTGTAAAATAAACAAGAAGCAAATTTTTTATCAATCTTCATATTGTGTATAAACCTTCTTTTGAGCTTTGTTTCAAAGAAATGGTTGACGATTGCTTCGCGTTTTGTTATATATTGTAAACAGAAGCTCATAAAGGTGTTCTCGTTGAAATAGTAATTGTTAATCTTTCGTTCCTGACAAAGAACCCATATCAGTGGGTTAACTGTTGCTATTTGACATAAAACAAGTAGTACACGGATAGCAGCCAAATATCTGTAGGGCATTTTATGCATAAAGAACTGATAATTATTGCATTAATAGTAGAAAAATCAGCACTTACGTCATTAACAATAGCTGCAAGCCTAACAGCCGCTTCATCAAGCCAGCCAATGTCAATCAGATAATCAACGTACTCCTCCGCATTTTCAGGCTGCAACTGAAACGGACAATCGATGACATATCATGTAAATATACAGCTGAAAAACAGACTTTTCATAAACAGACAGAAATATGGACACAGTTTAAATAATCATTACGTTGTTTTTTATCATATTGAATGTCCAAAATTACTCCACATGCAATTCGTTTCCTTATCGAAGGTTAGCAATGAAAATTCATTATTTGATAAAGTTTTTAGAGAGAACAAAGGAGGAAACTTTTTCCAAAACGATTCTGAATATTCTAGAAGAGTATTCCAGTGTGACCAGACGGGTAATGAAATCAAAATGGTACAACAACAAAAACAATTGATATCCTATAAGAGCATCCTAGATATGGTTTTGTTTCTCTTTTCCATTAAGATTTCCTTAAGATTAACTTAAGCAGGGTCTTAATATTTAATATTTAACATTTAATATTCATTATTTAAAGTTTTCTGGTACATTTTCCTTGGGGTTTATCGGCAATCTATTTTGTTTCCCATCGAAGACGACAATGTTGGAAGCAGTAGTTACCAGATGTAGAGTAAAACATATTGAAGGTCAAATCACTTTCTATCAACCAATAGTTTTTTTCCAAAATATCAAAAAGCAAATTATTCCCTTTGCATGCTTGCTGTTCCTGTCCATGTAACCAATTTTTTAACAATTTTCAAAAACTCCTACATTAAATGTATTTCTTTGACACTGTAACCTACAAATTCAAATGCCTACTTTTCCAAAGACCTATCTGCTTCACTTACTTTCAAGTATCTTCGATATATGCGAACAGCAGTTTCAGGCATGTTGTAACTCTTAATGAACTTCAAGTAAATGGGCCATATTCTGCGATGCTGCGTGATTGGGAGAGCCCTGAGAGCTCTGTCAAGAAGCCGCCGTGTTCTTGTAATTTTCTTCTGATCGGACATAAATTGACAATATTCTATCCATATTCTTGGCATCTGCAATTCAAAGTTGAGCATATCAAATCATGTAAGAAATTTTAAGGAAGATACTGTATGTCGGGGCCTTTTCTGATTATTGCCTTAGTTCATAATCAACCTTACTTAACAACGTATAAAATGTCAGCCACTGTTATTTTGCTATGCAAGAGTTGTCTCCGAATCAATGGAAACAACTGCCTGCGCATCATGAGAATATCATGAAAGAGTTTCCCCCACCACGACGAAAGAGGTTAGAAAGGGTTTATCAAACAGAAGCAAGATGCAGAAGAATAATAGCACTTCCAAAAGAGCCCCCTTCTCATAAAAGATCGTAACTGTAAACAAAACTTCAGATGAAATATGAACAAATGATTCTTTGATAACCAAATGACATTTTTAAATAATTATGAAACATTTGGAAATGGGTCAAGGCATAAGCATTCAAATGCAGCCATGTAAAAGAAAAAAAACCAAACTTGACAGACCTTATGCATGAATACAAGGGACCTTTCATACGCATTATTGACTTCTTCAAAGGCAACATCTGTTATGCATCTAAAAAAAGATGTAAGGTTACAAGATATATTTTTATGTAATATGTTCAGGCAACATTTTCAGGCCCTAAATGTAACGAATTTCCATCTGAATCATTTGGACACTTGCAGAGGTTTGACTTTTCCTTACTCTAAAATACAAGCCTCAACGCTAGCAATTTGATAAATCTTTAGGCAAATTCAGAAACTTTGGTTCCGGCTCATTTCTGGCAATACATTTCTTCAAAATAGACTCAAACTGGATTCTAAGGAAACGCTAAGTATACAAACATAATATGAAAAATAATCCAAAAATGACTTTAACGCTAGTATCATGAATAGAGTATTTTAAATCTGTATTTTCAAGCTATTTCGAAGAACTTCTATTTCTAAAACAGAAATTTCTAAAATTTTGACACCCTTGTCATTCTTGCACATACAGAAATTGGTCTCTCTGTTTTTATATACCAACATAACATTTATGTGTTAACTGTCTCTGAATGCCACGAAGAAAGTTGCATTTCCAGGAAATAGATAATATCCATAAAAAGGTTCCGTCAATAGATATCTTCACTCACTTGCCCTTAACTTGTCTTCTTCTCAGCTTCAAATAGTTGTACCAAAGTTTGTAACTAGAAAAATTGGCATTGATACAGCCTTAAAAGTTGTACTATTGTTTTTAACTAAAAAATATTTTATTTTATGCAAACATTTGCTGGAACAGTTCCCCTACAACAAACCCTGAGAAATATTTCTAACCAACTAGCAGACATCTGATCTATAAACTAGAAAAAAGGTTGTTTACAATCTCATTTGGAAAACTGGATGGTGATATCTACAATACAAAATAAGTTGCAGTTGACACGGATCTCAACACGAAAAGAAACAATTTCAGTCTCCTAAGTTTCCTAAACTGAGAATATTTATAAATATTTGTAAAGGTAGTCTTATCTACTAGTTTTCTTTGTACTGTGGACTTGATTAGCTGGTATAAATCCGAAATACCTTTCAAAAAAATTACCTTAAAATCGCACATCTTCAATAGGTAATAAAAAAGGACACTTAAGAAAGAAACTACATCAAGTACCAAAGATTCTGGTCGAACTTTTTTTTTGGTAAAGCAGGGGCATTAAAAATTAATCACACCGTCTCGAAAAATCACACCAACGCTAGAAAAAGGTCTCTTAACTTTTGTTTGAGACTTTCAAAATAACAAAATGTTGTCTTAGATATTTCAAAGGTGTCAGAAACTGTACAGAATTTCCAGTTGTCAAATCTGGTATTATAAAGAACGACGGGAGTGCATCGAGTACTTTTTCGTAGAGATTTTATAGCTACCAAAATCATTTAAGCATTACATCACATCCAATATGTATCAGTTATTATTCTCAGTTTTATGTTCTTCTTAGTCATCATTTAACTCTATATCGACCTCTACATCCATGAAATTTAGCTCCCTATAGGCCGAACAGTTGCTTTTACAGGTTCTTCATAATTTTTCTTAATGATTTTCAATGATTCTTAATGATTTTTTCAAACGTTCCAATCGATCAAAACTTCAAATCCCTTTATTGATATTGGGGATAGAAAATATTTGCCAACAGTAAACGCATTAAATTGATTTTTCTCTATGATTTATGAAAATCAAATAAATAGTGAAATAAGATAAAAAGTAAAAGAAAATAGACCACCTCTAAAAAAAGCTTATGACAATTTTGTCCACTCTTCCATTTCATTTATTGGGTTGACATTGAAATATACGACTTTTGTAATTTTTAGATTGCGGTCCAGATAGTTTTATGTTGACGATAGGAAACAATTCAATAACGTTTCACTTCTAAACCCATTGAAAGTAAACTTATACCGAAATTTTTCTACATCTCACAAAAATTTACACCGAAACTTAAAAAATAAGACCGAAATTGTTTCCACCGAAAATTAATCTACCGAAATTTTTGGGATCGGATTTTTGGTACTTGATGTAGGCGAATTCACTGTGTTTTTCCTAGCACAAAAAGTTTTGATTCTGTCACTGATTGCTATTTAAAGTGTTATCTGATATAATTTGTCTGGAAAGCGAGAATATGATTTATCACCAATTTTGCTACATACAGAGTCTTTGTTAATTACATAAAAAAGTTACAAACAACTTACCTTCCTGGCAACTCTTTCAACGCTCTTTCATAAATAAGGTTTACAGCTTGATTCTTGCCACCAGTAGTTGTCTTGTGCTCCACATATCTCATCCAGCATTTCACTGAATAAGGGTGTCGCAGTATTTCCTCTTCATAAGGAACGTCTGCTTCTTCCTGAAATAAAATATAATTTCATTAAGCCAAAAAAATATATCTCTAAAGTTTCTATAACGATAACCGATTTCATCTTGAAAAAATCTCCTCTTATTTACACGAAGACCGCTCCTTGAAAAACCTGTCTTTAATAAAATCATTTTTACCCAACCAATGATTAGCCTATAAAAACCAGATATCTAATTATTGCATTCATAGCAAATTCAGTTCTAGCTCTACATGCCAAATTTCAGAATCGAAACCTAATTTTAAGAATTGATACCGTTCAAGTTTATCTTGTACCCAAATGGCTTCAGTATTCTATGCAAGAAGAAAGGTTTTCCATTCATGCTACTAAAAGTATGTTTATTTGCCTTACGTATATCAAGCTGTGAGAATGCTAACAGTTACACCAGAGCTGACTTTTCCATTATATACATGTAGAACTAGTCGGTTTTTGGTTTATGTTATGTTGCTATTTATACCTATGAGCATTTTGTGAAGATGACTCTTATATCAAACACATAAAAACAATAACAATTGGTTTTCATCATCCACATTGATACCTACATCATATGAATGGTAAAGAGAGAGAAAGGTCAGTTAAAGGCAGTGAATTACATTAGCTTTAAAAGACGTTCTGAAGGGGTAGGGGCAGTCATAATCTAGAAAAGCTACATGAAATTATATTAAAATGATAATGTGACATTTAGATATTGCTATGGTATGGTAACATGGCGTTCCAAGTGTGCAAATGAAATTAAATTGGTCAGATCTGCTTTGAAGAAGCACCAAAGCTGAATTTTACAAGCTATTTTTGCTAAATGCCAATCTGAGTAAATATACCTCAGCTTATGTTTAGTGAAATATTCCTAAAAATTCTATGTTTTTGGCTTGGGTAAAAGCAGAGAAAATGCTGCTCAAATAAGAAACTCAGAAAATTCATTGCAATCGCCCTACCAAACAGAAAGTGAAGTTAACATTTAGTGGATCAATAAAATGATACAATACTACGAGTTTCACTCATAACTTGTATAAAGTAGACCATTTTTTAAAATCTATGAGTTATTTACTCATGTGAAACCAAAGTTGCTGGACAGATAGGGATAAAGCATCATTCATTTTCCCATAAATTTCAAATCTGTCTTGAGCCTATGAGATATCTTGCCAAACTGAAAGGACTACGTCTAACACAACAGCGGTAAATTCAATACACTTTAAAAATGACTGGCCAGTCTCTTATCTGGACCTCCAGATTTTTAATTATTTTTTGCATATGTTTACATACAACAAAGTTAATGAAAAATATTGAAAAATTAATATGCAAGATCGCAACAAGTTCTTGATGAATTTCATTTGCTAAAAATACAAGATTGATTAAACACTAAAATCAATGAGAGTCATTTGGGTTCTTTCTAGGATGCCAATCTCTTCGCGTTTGTTTCAAGTGATGTGTCTATGATACCTTGCAAGTTCTTGTGGGCTGACGAAAAGTATGCAAGCAAAAAAATATAAATTAGTAAGGTAAGACCCATGTTCCAATCATTAGATTGCACTGCAGCCTGTGTTTCTTGGTGGTTCTACCATATGAAATCGTACTTGTTACTATATCTTCACGTATGATAGCTTTTTTAAAGGTACAATCAAACACCTAAATGCCCATTTTTAGCCCTGATATTGCCTACACTCTTCCTCTGGTTCAAATCTTTGCTGGAAATATTTTCGATAAATCAGCAGCAAACCCTGGTATGTCATAGTTTCAAAAGATTTCTTGCCCCACCTCTACCATGCCAGCGACTTTTTTGAAACATTTCTAGCATTTTCAAGGTTTTCTTTGGCCAATATATCTTTTTTCTTGATACTTGCTTCAACTGATCAGTACCATTGATACTTGCTTGCACGGAAAATCATAGGACTTTCCACCAACATAGAAAAAGCAGCTACAGGTTTCACAAAAGATATCAACTTCAAAACTGTAGAGAAATTTTTGTTCTTAAACAAGTTTGATAAGTGACTTGTAAGTGACTTTCAAAGTAGCATAACTTTTCAATGTTTCTATAGCTCAAGCATCATTTCCGCAACTCAAACATTGTTCTGCACAAGGCATTGGCAACAAGCAATGCTTCTTCTAATCAGCCCTTGTTAGTTTATGAAATTCAGAATAAACTCATAATAGAGTTTCCCAGAGAACTAGAAGGTGCTAATCAGTAGATTTTTATTCTTAGCTTCAATGGCTTTCGAGCAAGCATAGATCTGTTTAAGTATTAAATCAAAATACTGAGATACAAGACCATTCAAGGGCCATTCTGCGGTAATCTATAAGGTGTTTTCCTTAAAAGTTTTCCTGGTTAGTACCCCCCAGACCCCCTTTCTCCAAACAAGCATACCTTAGATATTTCTTTAAGTCACGTAAACCATGTAAAATCATGGTTTGCATGCTATTTTCTTTTAATAATTTGCATACCAGATCTTATAAAATCAGGAGGAGAGTAGCATTTAGAAGAAACTCAATCTGCTCACAAAAAACACATTTGAAAGTGGGACATCTTTTTCTACATTTTTAACCCTTTTTCATTGTTCTTACAAAGATCAGATTACCTCTTTTATAAACAATATTATTTTGACAGCCACTTGTTCAACTTGTGACAATCAGATGGTTCTGGTTTCTGACCAACATTACTATTTCAACTCATTAGCATTTCAAAATTACAGAGAACATGTTGTTTAGACAAAGATATGAAAGTAAGGTTTTCAAATGTTTCAAACCAGTATGGATTCTATGGAAGCTGCACTCCCGAGAAATTTTTGTAAAATAACAGGTGCACTTTCGCACACCCAAAAGATGGGCATGGTTTTGGTGTGTTTTTAGATGGGGCTCAAATTAAAAAGTTTTTCTCAAATATGGTAAAGTGACTTTTTAAATTTGTCTGTAACTGAGATTGGAATAAAGTGTATCATTCTAAATTGAGTGATCCACTTGAGATCAAGGCGGGCAGCAAATTTTAGAGGGCTAGAGAGAAAACTGAAAACAAAAGCACACTTGCGAGCGAAGCGAGCAAAAAATTGTTGTGACCCTGCTCTTTAGATTAGCCTAAAACATGCTTCAGAATATTGTTTGCAGTCATTTTCTTGCAATTGTTTCAATATTACTTTGTTTCAATTGTTTCATTGACACGTTTCACTAAATTATTTCCACTTTATAAACAGATTACTATCGGTTAACTATAAACGGATAAATTCCATTCTTAAAACCCTTTCTTTATGAGGTTCCCTGGACATTGAGGCCCTTAGGCAATTTGCCCCCTTGTCCCCCTATTGGTGGCCCTGCTTTGAGACTATGTTTTAAGCCTTTTTAAACATTATTTTTAGATTATCTCTTTACTTGTCAAATCTTTAGGAATTTGAATAACAGCCACTGATGGTAGGTAAGTATAGATAGTTCAACCTCTAAATCATGAATTTCCCTGAGATGTAAAATTGATGTAAATAGGAAAAGTGCCAGAAAAAATATGCACATACTCAAGAATCACTGAGAAATTTGATGCACACTCAAAAGTGCACACATACCACAAATGCACTCTTGCACTCCCGGGTAATAACTTCCAGACAGCCAAGTTTGGGTATGTGCGGGAAACGCATTCCCCGTGCAATAATTCTTTGCTCAAATCCTGTCTGTGCATTTTTGCAAATTTAGATCACACCGAGCAGTTGGAACATGGACTTTCGTGTGAATTCCGCGCATAGCCCAATCTTGAGCCCTAAAACTGCTATTTAAAAATGAAATCCCGCAACTTTTAACCTGTCATTTTGCAACATGATTTGTTCCCGCGCAAGCGTAAGCGACAGAAAATAATTCCCACGCACAAAAAAATACTTTGCACTCTGGAATAACTTATGCTCCCAAGATTTCGTCGAAAACTGCCATGAAATCCAGAACTACATTTTAGTGTGCATTTAGCATTAGACAAGCCTCTGAAAAAATCTTGTGTGTGCACATGCCACACTCTGAAGACTTGCAATGCATGACTGACACATCGATCATAATTCCGCTTTTATTCTCTGTGTGATGCAATTGAAAACCCTCAGTGGTAGAGATAGTCATTTCAAGATTTTACTCGGGTACACCTGACATCTTTTGTAAACTGGAACATCAGCCAAAACAATAAAAAATAATAATGTCATAACACTGCCAGATATGTACTTTTTTATGGTTTAAATTGCAAACAAAAGAAGTTTGATTTTTGAGGAAACGTGCTGAGAATCCATGAAAAAGAGGTAGAAAACTTTAGCAAGATTGATAAAAGTTTACTTACTAATATGAGGTTTGCCTTTTTGTCGCTTTTTACTGTCATTTTACTTGTTATTTTTCCTGTTTTATCAGCAAGCATGAAATGTCTCCGCCATTACTAAGGAAATGGAAAACCTCGATATGCAGAAGAGGCCCGCTTCTGCACAGCGTCCTTGGCAGGCTTCCATGCTTGCAGCATTCTTGAAAATGTTTTGATGTTGATCTGCATTTAGAAAATCCTCCAAACACTTAGAAAATGCCTTTGCCAGACGGATGGATTGCAAAGGAGTCTCGCTCTACTGGAAAAACATATTATTATAATACTGTTACGCAGGAAAGCCAATGGGAATTACCAACTGAGGCCGCAGTATCGGAAAATGAACCAGCAAAGGTGCGTGCATCTCATTTGCTGGTAAAGCACAATGAATCCAGACGCCCTTCGTCCTGGAAAAGCGAAACGATAATAAGGACTAAAGAAGAGGCTCTTGGAATAATTGAGGGTATTGAAATGTTTATTTGAATTTTTAGTTTTAGCTCAATATTGTAAAATGCAATCCTTCATTCGCTGTCTGAGAAGTACTGGTGCAATATTACTAGTGGGAAAAGCTGTTAAACAGAAAAATGAATCTACAGATCTATCTAGACAAGGTTACAATAGAAGAAAATTTGAATTTGATAACCTATTTCAAACCTAGTTTTTTAAGAACCTATTTTAACCAAAAGTTTTTTATTTCATAGAGTATTTTCCAGAAACCATCATTTTTCATGAAGAGACTATCCTTCACTGATCCTTACCCAAACCTTTTCCTTATGTAGGGAACCACTCGCTGAATGGGGGGGGGGTTGCAATAGCCCCCCATTTTTTCAGTTCTCATTGGTCAAGTTGTTTTAAAAAAAATCAAATAAATGAACCTCTGATCCTGTGATTCCCATATGCATCTATATTTAAAGTCAAGGGTTCATTCCATGTAGCAATTATTTCAAAGATCTTTGGTGTGGAATTAATGTGAGATAAGCATTTTCCAGCATGTGGTGGGCCCTAAAGTTTTGGTGAAATGGCATGGCTGCACAGCGTCTGTCGCTTTCTTAAATTGCCTGAAAATATAAATATTGTAGGTATTAATAAATTGCCTGAAAATTATGGGGTTTTGTCTCTTAGTGATTGCATAGAAACCTTGGCGTACATCTGGCCTTTCCTTGACATACTATCAGTGTGAGGTTTACATTGAATGCACCCTGGTATAAGGACCCAATCTGAATCTTAAAAAAAGCAGGTTCTTTGTAGTGACCATGGTGCATTTCAGTAGATCCTAAGCTGAGATTTATAGAACATAAATATCATAAATAATTTTCCTTGTCTACGTAAATGCATAGAAGAGTCTACACAGGCCTGGCAGTTGGAGGCGAGCGATAGCTCGGGCTCGCCTCCACACTCCCCTCGCAACCTGAGGCGAGCTATGAATTGCTCTCCTAAACAGAACATGAAGGGAGAATCGCTCCCCTAAAATTTCCATTCATTTGCCTTTTTCCTATTCAACTTACAAGGGTTAATTGGGTTATTTTTGTAACAGCAACTTCTCCTATCATTGCATTTTTTGCAATTAACTTTTTGCTTGTTGGGTGATTTTTGTTATCATAGGCATGAACTTTGATAGATTTGGAAAAGGATAGTTAACTCGGGCTCGCCTCCACACTCCCCTCGCAACCTGAGGCGAGCTATGAATTGCTCTCCTAAACAGAACATGAAGGGAGAATCGCTCCCCTAAAATTTCCATTCATTTGCCTTTTTCCTATTCAACTTACAAGGGTTAATTGGGTTATTTTTGTAACAGCAACTTCTCCTATCATTGCATTTTTTGCAATTAACTTTTTGCTTGTTGGGTGATTTTTGTTATCATAGGCATGAACTTTGATAGATTTGGAAAAGGATAGTTAACTCGGGCTCGCCTCCACACTCCCCTCGCAACCTGAGGCGAGCTATGAATTGCTCTCCTAAACAGAACATGAAGGGAGAATCGCTCCCCTAAAATTTCCATTCATTTGCCTTTTTCCTATTCAACTTACAAGGGTTAATTGGGTTATTTTTGTAACAGCAACTTCTCCCATCATTGCAATTTTTGCAATTAACTTTTTGTTTGTTGGGTGATTTTTGTTATCATAGGCATGAACTTTGATAGATTTGGAAAAGGATAGTTAAGCGCAAGGTATGTTTGTAGCCATTACAACCTTTCAATCTTAAGAAAGCAGGCATATTTTTGGAAGGAAAGTCAAAGAAATTGGTAGGAATTGTAGTTTGGGGAATATAATAAAACAGCAGGTCCCTTCCAGCAATAGAAACAAAACTATTCCTCAAAGAGACCAGGGTACTCTGTCTTGCAGATCAAAAACAATAACCAAAACATGAAATTCCACTATCCAGCTGCATTTACTGAAAAACCCAGATTGGGTGAAAACTATAACGGAGACGTGTTTCGCATTAATGGCAAAGCCTGATCATCGTTCCATCTAGCTTCTACTATACGAACATGACAGACCGCTTTTGTGTGAACAGAAGGAGTTCGTTTTCACCTTAGGACTCCATTGGTAATATTTTCAATAGGAAAGAGGCACTGATTGGACAACCTCAACAGTAATGTGCTCGCGTTTTCTGATTGGCCTATTTTGACCCAAAACTGGGTATTTTAGCGTAGAGTTTTCCATCTATGTTCTGACGTTTTAAACTCTGAAGAGTGCTAGACGTATAACCAGGCTTCTCCGTTTAAAGCACGCGATCACGCGCGCGCACCTTGGCTCGCTCCTGTCGTTGCAGAGACGCGCAATAAATCACGCGCCTGGTTTATAAGAACCCTTTAAATCGCGCTCCTTGTGTTTTGGTTTTGAATAGTTATTATACAAAGAGCCTCTTTCGAGGAAATTTTATTGCCAAGTGAAAGCAAACATCTCTTGAATATATTTCCGGTCAATAGCCAATAAACTGTCATTGTGATTCCTGATTGTTATAATTGGATTTCAACAAAGTCACGCAACTTTATTAATTCATTCTTTCATTCATGTGCATGGAGACAGACTTGTGCTTCTTTTCGCTCCTTTTTCACGACAGAAATTTTTAAGTGGCCAGTAATTCAAAGGGTGAAGCCATAGAGCTATCTACTTTTCGCAAGTATCGCAAGGACGAAATTATCGGATCAAAGACCGAAAAATGGAATGGGAAGACAATGATGGTTTTGATTTGGTGTAAAGTTTGCTCAAAACACAAAAGCATTATTTTATCAAATCCTCTTTGTAAAGGAAGTGCCAGGAAAGCAATTGAATCATACATCAATGGAACAAATTTTGATTCTTCCACTGCTTCTGACTCTGATTCTTAATCGGAATTTGAGCTGGACATTGACGAACTGCAACAATAATGTGTTTTTTTGCTTCTAGTGCTCTATTAAGTATTTTGTTTAGATATTTCTAGATACAAAGTATTTACTTGCGAAAACATGCCGTTTTTGCCTACTTTAACGTAAATATATTTTTTGGTAAAACGCACGCCTTAGCAAGGCGAGGCGCGCGTTTGAGCAGGCGCCCACTAAAATGCTCACGGAGAGACCTGTATAACTTAAGTTTTTTTCAAAATTTGTTTGCCATTTTCAAATTCTGTGCAATAAAAAGATTGTTTTGCAAGAGAATTGTTGTTTTTGCGTTGTGCCAGCTTTATATGAAACTGAAAGAGTCTGTTCTTTCAAATACTTCAAGTAAAGGGGGTGCCTAAGTCACGGTTAAAGCAAATACAAATTGAAAGAAGTAAAACAGCGTACTCCTGACTGAGGCTATTAAAGGCAACTGACAGATACTAAAGGGGCTTAAGTCATCTGTTGATTGTCTTTAAAGTACATTCTATGTGTTACTGATTTAGCTCGCCTCAGCAAATGAGGGAATCAATTCACAGCTCCCCTATAAAAATACAAACGGCCAAGCCTGAGTCTATGCCAATTCACCAAAATAGATTCCTACATATGTAAAAAGCAATGCACACTGTTAGAAAAATAATATTTTGGATTAAGGCAATTGGAGGGAGGATGTAAAGAAATACTTTTCTGGAGTTGCTAGGGAGTTTATGAGAAATATCCATTAGATGCTCAAGTATTCATGGCTCACAAAAAACATTTGACTGACTTTGACAGCAATTCAATTGATCTATTTGTTCTTCAAAAGTCCAGCAAGGAATCCAAGGAAGGACACACATATTATACAACAAGAGGAAGTTATCTTAAGGCCTATTTCCACTTCATTCCCAAATCACAATTTCTGCACAAACATTTGCAACTGGAATGCATTCCCCTACATTAATCCCAAGTCATTTATCCCAAATTAAATGATCTATTAGAAGAAATTTTGCGTCATAAAAATGCAGACATCAGCACCTTTAACTTTCACAACAATTGACAAGGAAAACTGCTGTATTAGTTACTGTATGCAAACTTTCAGTATGCAACAAGTTACTGTATGCTAACTTGCAGTATGCAACTGAATTTGCATTTGTTTGCAATTAGGAAATCATTTGCAAACTTTGAACTGTGATTGAAGTTTAAATGAGCCTTCAGCTTTAATTTTTGTCAGTTGATAATTTATTGTCCATGCATGCTGAGATCATCTGTGAATTACTTTTTTTCTCTGAAGTGGCATAGAGCTCGCAGTTCAAAAAAGCACAAATTGACTGTGATCCATTGACCATCTAGTTGACAAAGGATGGCAATTTGGATATCATTTACTTGATAAGCCAATCAAATGAAAAAAGAGTCTCTAAAATAAGGGCAATAGCCTCTAAAAGACCCTTTAAGAATCAATCACATAATACGCAAGATTGTTAATATTCAACCCCCCCCCCTTCCTCTTAGAATATATTTGAACTTCTTTGGTCACCCCAGCACTTTTGTGTACATACTCATTGGCTAAACCAATCCCCCCCCCCCCACAACAAAGTACACACAATGTCTGCAAAATACTTTGCATATAACACCCTTTATGATGTATAGTATTGCATTAGACAACAATGCAAAAAGGAACATTTTTGTAATGAGGACAGCGATGCAAAGATAATATGTAAATGTTTACACTAAGGTCCATAATAAGGACCATTATTGTGGTGGTAATTTGTACCCAGTTTTTATGCAATTTTCTGCAGATGATCTGCACTACACCTCAAGGTTGTATATTCAAACTGATGATCAAGCCTTGTTTGAAAGAACTCTATCTAAAAAGCATTTTTCATAGGTACTTTAACTCCATCAGCCTAGCTTACCCCTGTATGAAAACATATGCTTTTTGATAAAACCCTCCTCCCCCTGTCCTGCATACATTCTGTATGAATTGCCTCTTGCCCAAATTTTTGTAGGGCTTACCCAAGATTCAAGATTATTTTTTAAATTTTATGGATTTAATGAGAATGTAATGCTTTAATTTTAGGTTACAAACTAAGAATAAAGGCTGGAGAAATATCTTTAGAGGAACTTGCTCTTACTGAAAGTGACTGTAGTAGTGCAAAGCAGGGAGGAGATTTGGGATTCTTCACAAGAGGAAAAATGCAAAGTGAGCAAAAAATTATCAATCATATTTGATATGAAAATATATTTTTCTTCAAATGAAAATTTTAATTTTAAGATTTCTGGTTGAGTTACTAAGTGAAATATTTCTACTGACACATTCTTCTTAAGAAAGTAAACAACTCTTCAGTGCTTCAATGAAATATTTATAAAAGCTGTCTTTGGTTAAAAATGATTTTTGCCACATCTGTAATTTTCAATTCTTAAGACAATTAACTTCAAGTGATGCAAGAGCTGGCTGTGTTCTAGGTTTCAAGTGGAGAAATTGTACCATCATACAAAATTAAGTTTTTATTCCCTCTTTAGTACTTGAGATTGAAATAGTATACCTTGATAATGCTATTGTTTTAAATTTTTTGGTTTTAAATGTTTTGAAGTTTAACAATTTTCAACATTATCATGTTTTCTTCCATTATATTATGAAATCTGTATATTTCTTTCCTTTGCAGAGAAATTTGAAGATGTTTCGTAAGTAAACCATGCTTAGCTCTGCTTAGCTAAGCTTTGTACATTTCTGTTTTCTCTTATTTAATCACTTGATCTACCATACTCATATCAAGAGTTTTCATTTGATTTATTAAATGTGCTATTTCATTATCTGAAATTCTCTGAAATACAAAATATGATTTCTAAACTGTTGGTAGATCTGTTTTGATTTTGTCTATAGTTTTGCACTTGAAGTTGGGGAGGTGAGTGATGCAGTGTTTACAGATTCTGGCATCCATTTGATCTTCAGAACAGCTTGACTTGACAAAATGTTGCAAAGAATCCTGTCATCCAATCAACTGCTGTTCCAGCTACAGCAGAATGAAAAAGTTATGTCATTTGATCAGCTGTGGTGATGATTTCAAAATTGTTGGAAATTTGAATGAATAAAAACAAACACTTTTAAGTTTCTTTCAACCTAATTCTTAACTTAAAGATTTTTTTTATGAAACACATTTATATTTGTTGGTTGTCATATTGGTTTCACTTTTTCTTTTCTTTCTTTGGATCCATTTTTCGACAGATATAAAAAGAGTTTGTCCTTCAAACTAATGTTTAATTGTTCTGTTGTTTTGCCGGATTCAAAAAGGTTTAAGATGCATAAAAAGAGGACCACTGTACCAGAACCTATACATTTGGATCTAAAGAAAAAGTAATGATTTTGCAGGGCCGTGCCAGATTGGTCTAGGAGTTTTATTGTTTTTAGATTTGTTTTACGAACATACTGAAGCTTTTTATCTAAAACTCTTCAGAATGTAAAACAGTGGAATAGTGATCAATCAAACTTGTTTGTTTTCTCTCTAGGATCTTCATCTTATACATCACTCCAGTTGCATTCAACTGGTTCCTAAATTCTTGTAAACCTTCCTATGTCTTGCTTCTCATTAACTGTTTACCTGCAAAGCTGACAACTTTTATCTTGAATTCGTCCTTTACTTATACTTATTTATCATCTCCTAAAGCTTCTTTTACTAAGCTGCTAAATAATTGTTGAACAGAAGCCATGATAATTGGCAACCCTATCGTACCCCTCTTCTAATCATTTCCGGATCTGATTCTACTCCTGCTTTTTCCACTCTCGCCTTCTACGTTTTCAACAATCGATAAAAATATTTTCTAAAATTTTCAGCAGCTTTTGCCATTGCACATGATCGAAAGCTTTACTATAGTCTACCTAACAAATAAAGACATCCTCAACATACTCATTTCTCCTTTCTGAAAACATTAAGGCGTTCATTGATTACGGCGCTCCTTACCGTCAACTGGGACCAAATTGGTTCCATCTGTTCTGATGAAGCCTTAAGTTTTCTTTCATGAATCCTATTCATGTTCTTACAGTATGTAATGTAGGACTATCTTTTAATCGTATACCATGAACGAATTGGTGCGATGCGCTTCATGCTGGCTCTAGTAAAACCATGCTGGCAGTAGCGTTGCCATTTGGCCGTTTTGACAGCCAAATTTTTCCATTTTGACTCGTTTTCAAAGCCCTTAACTGTGCAAGCATTTATTCTTACCACGTGACCTTAGTAAGGGGAAAAGATGAAACATTCTCTCATCTCGCGATAGCAGGTACAGACAGTTTCCTTAGGCCGGGCGGGCGGCACTTGTCTTTCAAAGACAAAGATGTTTGGGTTTGTGACAAAGGCTTCAGACCATAGTTTTTCTATTGACTGTGATAATATTTAAATACGTTTTTGATGCCACAAATAATACTAAACGTACCCTGAAAAAATTTTCGTCTGACACTCTTCAGAAGACAAACGTCGGCACTAAAGTAACCTGAGAGGTAAGAAAGACCATTTGATTGGTTCTTTTGTTTTTCACCAATCAGCAACCTCCAACCTCTCACGTAGTTAAAGAGTCCTGGACAGAAACAAAGGGCAAGGAAGGCCGTCTTTTCATTTAGGAATTATCCAAAAGTATCGAAAATTTGCTAAAGCAGGGGAATTCCAATGGGCTCAAAAAACTTTATCAACAGTTGTCGGCTTTTTCTTTGGTATTCTAACTTGAAAGCGAAGAACACCACTGTAGACAAGATAATTCTGTCTTTTTTGTATATTTTTGATGGGATTGTTTGTAGAAAGGAAATTACAAGAAGCTTTTCCTGTCTTTTTTGGAAGTCGATACACTGTTTTAGAAAAAGGCTAATTTAAACCATCGCGTAATATAAAGTATACATCAGCCAATGTTACATATGTGTTCCTCGCAAAAATCACAAATACAATTGAGCAATGAAAATTCTCAAGTTTTTTTGTGAAAACTTGTAAATTTCAAGAGTAATTTTTTCGCTTCTGTATGACACAGTATTTAAAACATATATTTTGCATTGTGGCTCAATTGTTTTAAATTAAGAGCATAATGAGTTATAAGGGCATTCTTTTATAGAAAATATTTCATCCATAAAGAAGAAAAATATTTCAGCCATAAAAGATGGATTTAAACGGTTAATTTTTTACACATTCCTATCAGGAGGTATCGTAAAAATTTTTTAGGAGAAGTAATTTCTGTATTTTTCATGAAAAGTTTATTGAAAATCGTTGTGAGCTATTCTTAAAGCCCTTTCATGAATCCTGTTTATCCGGACATTACTTTTTCTACTACAAAACATCAAAATAAGAAGGCAATAATTTGAATATGTATTCGCTGTATCCATCAATATATATAGCAATCCTTATTTCGTGTCTCTTTGTAAAAGTTTTTAATATTATCTTCTAGTCCATGTTTATTGTCCAATTTTACTCCTAATAATTTAACATTCTTACTTTCTTACTTTCTTTGATGGTGCAAGCATTGACATGAATTTTGAATTCTTCTAGTTTAGATCCTTTGGGTTTAAAAGTTTTAAGCTTACTTTTATCACAGTTGATCACAGGCGGTAAAAAAATAAAATGTATTGGATGAGCAGTGCACCAGCAACATCCTTTTTATCCAGAATCTTTTTCAGGTCTTAAATAAGTCGTTCCAAGGTGTGCTCTGGGCTCTAACCTCTTGTGAACCCGTAAAACAAATTGAACAATTTTACACAGATGTAATTGTAGCCCGTGGGGTAACTTGAACCAAAGAATGACGGGGGCGTGTCGCCCAAAATATAGCAAAGATGCCCACTTTTAGGGATTTGGAGAAAAAAATTCCCAGTTTAAAGGTTTATGAAATCAACTGCAATTAGCATGGAAGGGACTAAAATTGACGAACTACAACTGACATATTACATTACGTAGCAAGGACGCTTTGGTCAGGAAGGACTTTGTGGTGGAGCTAACCCATATCTACGGGAATCAATGCATTTTGGAGACCCATATTTGGGTATTTTGAGGACTTTCAACTCGGACAACTACACACAAGAGTTACCTACCACATAAGAGTTACCTACCATATAAGAGTTGGAAACACATTTTAGAGTTACCATTTTAGAGTCAGACGTGATTTTATCGGTTTCTACTAGTAAAATTTCATTTGCTAGCTGGCTAGTTTTCAATTCAATAATGACTGGATAGTTTTTCTGAATTTTTGTTATCCGTTACATCTAATTTTAACCTTTTAACTTTGCAAATATCCAGACAGAGCTATTACCGCAAAGACAAAGCTTGAATTACCCCTCCAGCTAAATCCTCACAGGAATCGACGGCATCATTGTATATGTGTTTCTTTCAATTGAGGGTTATTGCACTTTTGGCTACTCAGCAAAAGAAACTTTAACATATAGTCTAGACACAAATATACTTCTCCGGTTTTTGGAGACATAAATAATCCACAAAGTCTATCATAAAAAATATTACAAAGTACAGAAAAAGATAAAATCTTGCAAAATATTTTGGTACCTGTTTTCTAAAACTAACGCCATTGACTTCCAATTTGATTTAAAAATGTTAACAACTTTCTGATCAGATGGAAAAGATAGTTCCAGCACAGCTAATAGATTATACGCTAGGTCTTGAGTCTGCTATCCCTAAGCTAGTACTAATTGCAGTCAGCAAAATTTAAGATATTCTTTATTCTGGAACTTGTCTTCTTTTAAATAAGGCCATTGACAAGTGTTTGTTCCAGCTAGTGTACTGTACGCTAGATCTTCAGTCTTCTATTTTCAGGTTCGTACTTATAGCAGTCAAAGAATTTCTATTTTGTAAGAGAGATATTTTTTTCTGCCAGAAAAGGCGCCACACCGCGTGGCTCATATCTGCCCTGTCTGCTAGCTAGTGGCTGGTTCTGAGATCTAGCTTTAAAAGAAACATGGAAAACGATCTACCTTTTGTTGAATAAGAGATCTAAGACAGCTAATGTTAGTTGCCTGGATGTATAAGACTGCAATCTAACTGATAACAACGAAATCGCACAATCGATGAACGATTTCTTTTGCAGAATTGGTAAAAAACGTAGTGAGGACATACCGCAGCAACCCAACCCCTTACTTTCTAACGAAGAGAACACCAATGAAGAAGGTACGAGATTCACGTTTTAGACCGTCTATTTTGTCTCTATTGAAAAAAATATCTTAAGAAAATTAAAACTTCGTTTGGCTTTCGATCAGATGGTATTGCAAGCTACTTCATCAAAATTTCTTTTCCTGTTCTCTTTGTCGGATTTATAATCTGTCATTTGAGTCAGGAATACTTCTTGATAGCTGGAAAATAGCACGTGTTGCCCCAATTTTCAAAAGTGGTTCAACTGATGATAGATCTAGTTACAGACCAATCTCTGTCCTTACCGTGGTTTCAAATTTGTTTGAGAAGCTCATTTATGACCAACTGTACCTTGATTCTAACAAGTACTTAGTTTGTAGGGTTTGCATTCTGTTGTCTCATGTTTACTGAACTGTACTAATTGTTGGTACGTCAACATCGACAGAGGAAAATAAATACTGCCATGATGTTTATGAGCCTATGATACAGTTGACCATCAAATTCTTTTGAATTAGATGCGCAATTACGGAATTGACAGTCTTGAACACAAATGGTTTGGCTCTTATTTAGACAACCGCAGGCAGTTCTGCAGGGTCAACGGTGTCAGCACTGATCCAGGTGGAATAAAAAATAGGGTTACCTCAAGGCTCTTGCCTTGGACCGCTTCTATTTTCAATAACCATTTGCGATAAAGGGGCAAAAGCAACTATATATGCCGATTATACGGCAATTTCGTGCTCTTCAGATAATATAGAAGACATTGATGCTGTTGTCAATGCAGAATTTGCCCGCCTTGAAAAATGGCTACATGGTAACAAGCTTTCCTTGAATGTTGTCAAGACACAGGCCATGATATTAGGATCGTCACAAAAGTTGAGAAAAATTGATACACCAACGGTGCCACTTCCTCGTTTTCAAACAAATGGAAAGAATATCCATTTTATGAAGGAAACTAAGTACCTTGGTCTCATGATTGATGATAATCTAAAATGGGAGAGCACTTCTGATAATCTAAAATGGGAGAGCATACAAATGTATACAGAAGAAGATCTCTAGAGCTTTAGGACTTTTAAAGTACGCTGAACAATATGTGCACGAGTACAAACTTAAGAATATGTATCTCAGTATTGTTCAACCACAATTCAGTTTTTCAATATTCGCCAATCAATAGGTGTGTGAGTGGAATCACACACACTGATTGGTCAATTTGTTACTGAAAGATAACCCCGTATCCAGTGGCGTAGATAGAGGTGGGTCAGGGGGCCAAAAACTCCCTTCTGAAGCTAAACAGCTTTTTTGTGGGAAAATGTCTGATCTTGTCGGAAATATAACATGGTTTTCTTTTTTATTCAAGTGTTAAATTTTAGGAGGACAGTCTTAGGTTATTATAACGATTTCTTCAGTTTTTCTGAATCAGATGGGCAACTTAAAAATGCCTTTTGCGAAAAGAAGGCCATATAATCTTCAATTAGTATGATTTATGACACATGACTTTGAGTAAATAATAAGACTTAATCTCCTGTTTTATTTCAGTTCTAATGTCGTTATGTTACGTTTTGAATCTGTGTCACAACTTTTTTTAATCTGTGTCAAATGCTCACCAACATGGTACATGGCTAGCTATAAAAATGACATTTTTTAATACGAAAAAATACTTTGCAATCTGGTATCAGATCTGTGCGCTTCTTTGGTGCTAAATTTTTGGAACAATATTCCAGTAGATATAAAAAGATCATTGTCTCTTGTTAATTTTTGTCAAAAGCTTGAAACCTTTTTATTCAACAAGAACTATCAAATTTGATTCTGAAGCGAAATGTAGAAATGTATTGTTTGTCACTCATGTAAATGATCCATTCATTTAAAACGACTTTAGAAGAGGGGGTACTCTCTCCTCGATTAGTTCATCTGCGAGAACTCCTCCCAAAGAAACTCCCCTGCAAACAAGTTCTTACGTAATCGTTATTTATTGCCTGTTATTATAAGTGAACAGTTTTTTTGCGGTACAGAACTTGAAAATGGCTTTGAAAAGAGCAAAAATTTTATAACATATTGGCTAAAAGATTTTTCGTCTGACCTTACTCAAAGTATAAAACGTCAGAATAACGGCCCAATGAACACAATGAAAAATATCTACCCTGTTGTGGATCGAAATAGACCAATCAGAAAAACTCAAGCACAAGACCGGTATGTTTGTCCGATCAGTGCCGCGTGCCTAAAGAAAAATTACTACTGGATTCCAAGAGAGAAAACATATCCTTACTGTCGACACAATGGCAGATTTTTCGTTATTATAAGTATTTTATGTAATGTGTGAACATTGTATGTAATTATTTATAATTTAGTTGTAGTGAGATATTGTATGTAGAGGAATTTTAAAATATAAAAAACTGAACTGACCTGAACTGAACTATGTTCAAATATATGAACAAATTTAAAATGTTTGTCAGATCTTTGTCGGAAAGTCTCAGTATTTTGCCCCTCCTATGAAATTTCCTATCTCCGCCACTGCCCGTATCTTGTTTTTTCCACTAGAATTTCAACACATTTGGTGCACCTGGCACTATTTGTTCCCCTTCCTTACCATAGGGTCCACTACAATAAGTCCTCAAATAAGTACCACTTAAAATAAGCGTTCCGCTTGGATAAGCACCCACACCATCGGGCAAATTATTAAATTGGCGCCCACCACCTCCATATTAAGAAACGGGCGCTAATTCGAAATTTTAGCAAAAACGAGATTTTTGCGAAATTTTTGACACGTAAGTTTTAGTCTTACGAGTACGGGGAAGGCAGTTGGCCAACAAAGAAAATAAGAAAAAAACAAAGTTTGTTCTAGTTTTTATCCTTGTCAGTCTTTATTTCCATGTTTTCATAGCAATGGTATACGGCTGGAATGAGCGATCTAAAATATTTAGCGTCAGAGAAGGCAAGCAAAAACAAGATCAGTGTGCTACCATTTACTGTTCGTATTCGACATATCGATATGCGGTTCGGCGAAGTGACACGATGTTTGCCCCTGCCATCTAATCTAGTAATACATGCTTTAGTTCAAAACTAAATACAAAATATGCTACTAAAATTACGCTGATTGGTTGCTTAATACAATCAATAAACTAAATCAAATAGTAGCGTGCGAGGATAACACAATCATTGGAGATAAAATATAAAAAATGGCGAACAAATATGTAGCTACATAATGAAACGTTTTTAAAACGCCTTCAAATATACTTTTTTCTCTCTTTTACCTTTTTTTGTCTTTGCTCAAATGCTTTGACATCCACAAAAATCATAAAAGCGCCCCGCTTGAATACATGGGTAATAAAGTTCTTCAATTTAGAAGCATCCACTTTGAGGATCAATTAAAAAGATAAGAGCCCGGCGTTTATTTGGTAAAATTGCAAAAACTGCAACTACAGCAGCAAGCGCGCATTCGGAGCCTCGATTCAAAAATCAAGATGGAAAGGCATGTAGTGATGCAACTACTGTGGTGATCTGAAAAACATAAAAAACTCTAATCGGTTAACGTAAATTTTAGGTTATTTCAGCATATATTTAGGTGACATGTAAAATGTGTTTGTCCGAAAGTTTTTTGTCTGAAATTCTCAAAAATACTATCGAAAGTTTTTGTCCGAAGTTGTTCTGCAGAAACTTTTCCGTTCGAAAGTTTTCGGATTTAATGCATCGGGTATTCAATGTATCACGTTCTTTCTTAATGGCAATTCATTTTTGATTGTATAGTAAAATAGCTGTTTACGCAAAGCTGATATTCTTTGGGGCCTTGTCGAACAATGGCTACTTTAAAAAATACCGTTTTAAATCTTTAGAGGACTATGTTTTTAATGATTTCAGTAGAGGACAAAGAAACTGTTATTGTCATTGGAAGTTGTTTACGCCGTAGAAATTGTATAAATGTAGAGCACTGCTGTCACAGGAGCAGAATCATTGTTGAATTCAAGACCATTGACGTACCACACAGCAAACGTGAGGATGACATGCCTTGTGACGCCAAATCACCAGAACCAAAAGGGAGGAAAATTCGCACCGGAGATGGTACACAAAACGATATTCAGTTCAAGGCAACGACAGCGACATGTTCAGGAATGGGTGAAGAATTTATGGCAACGCTTGATGAGAGAATGACTACCAAGTCTGAATCCCCCAACAACGAAATGGCACAAAGAGAAAAGACACGTGAAGGTAGGAGATATTGTTGTTATCTCGCCTTATAGTAATAGCTCTATGCAAAAGCAAATAAGATTTCTCCTGGAATAGATCGGAAAGTGAGAGTAGCCAAAATACAAATGAGACAAAAATTATCGAAAGAGTAGCCTGTGGCAAAATTATGCCATTTTGAACCATTTTTTATTGAAGTTGGCAAAAAAGCTGTTACGATAGTTGTTACAATGCTTTGCTGTGACATGGAATATATAAAGCTGTAGTTCATATGCAGAGCTATCAAGGAGGGAGAGAATGTTCAGGAGACAATTCGTTGTTATCTTTAACTGAAATTGCTTAACTTTATCACGTTTAATCACGTTTCTTCTTATTTGTAGTGAGTTTAAATTGTATTGTATAATATTTGTTTACACAAAGTTGATATTCTTTGGGGCCTTGAAGAAAAATAGTTTGTTTTAACAAACACACGTTATAAATTTTGAAGATTGTATGGGCTGCCACACAGGTTGGAAAGTGGGGTGACTAAGGGAACACCCATAGCAAAAGATTTTCAAAAAATACTATTGTTTTGAAAAAAAGTTATCCCGCCCTTCCCCCCTTCGTCGAATACCTTGGACTGCGTTTTTCAAGATCTCAGTAAATGACAAAGAAACTATTATATTAGTAATTTGAAGTTGTTTACGTAAATGATATTGTATAAATAAAGAGCAAGTTTTTAGTCAGTTGGTTAGTAAGTTGTGGCCTTCGAGCATTATGGGCAAGATTTCCCGCTTGGTCTTACAAACATCAAATATAATATTGTATCTTTATATTGCACACATTTTATACCATAATGTATCCTTACAAATTTAGAAAAGAAAGCCTTTCTTCTTCTTTGGTCTAAGACAGACATGATTCATTTAGAAGTGAGGTTGATTTTGATAGCACCTTAACCTCTTAGTATATTCAAAATGTATCTATATCAGGCATTTCTGTATGTATGTACGGAGAAGATGGGTGACTTTACTGTCCGGCCAATGGCTAGGCATCATGGCCCTCTTAGAGCTTCTTTTGACTTAATCAGGGCTCTTTGAGCTTTTTTTGCTTTCTACCAAAATTCTTACTATCAACCATAGTGTATCCTTGTATTGCACACACTTTATATCATAATGTATCCTTACAAATTTAGAAAAGAAAGCCTTGCAATGAATTCAAGAGCGGATTAAAGAGAAAAAAATTGATCGTGCCAAATGAATTCTTTGGATGGAATGATATGTTTTTTCATGTGAGTGACAATTTCCTGTTTTTGACAGAATTCAAGAATGTAAACACAAAGTGTTATAGATTGAGGGGGCTAAAAAATTTTGGGGAGCACGGAATTCTTTTGTATGGTTATAAGTGCGTTTTGTAGATTATTTGAGGAGCTAAAGCCCCCCAAACCCCTGCTTCCGCGAACCCTGAATAGAAACACAACAGCAAGATTACTTTTATTGCTTGTTCCTATAAATAGGTTGCTATAGGTTTTCATTTCTGTTTCTTTATGGTCTAAATTTGAGGACAGTTGGCCCAAGGTTGATTTGTGATGACCGTCAGCCTCCTTTATTACATTTCTTCCAGCATCGCGAGGCCATTTGGTCAAGTTTGATAGCACTTTTACCTCTTAGTATATTTAAAATATATCCAAATAAGGCATTTCTGTATGTATGTACGCAAATAATGGGTCACTTACCTCTCAAGCATCAAAACCTCCATACAGCCTCTTTGTCGACTTTATCATGGCTCTTTGAGCTTTTTTGCTTTCCTACAGTACTGGAGATCTTTGTAAAACTGTTCAAACTCCTGCAGCAAAGTGAACTTTGTTAAAGTGAACCTCCTGTTGTATAAGATCAAAATTTGTTTGTCAATCCTCATATTAAAAACCAATATCAAAAGACAAATCCACATCTTTAATTAATTCTATATTTTCTTTATTACAAATGTTATATTATCTCATCAGTTGCATGTAATTTAATATAACATTTGTAATTTCATTTCAAAACCCACCCAAACTTAAGTGAAATTGCTTGCTTTGCTTTTTTGCAGTTTAAAAATTGTTAAAAAAAACTGAAACAGTTTCAGTGACCTTGACACTGCAAGAAAACAATGATGGTAAGTTATGCGTCAGATACTCTGGCAAGTGTATTTATTATGTGTGTCTTTGAATGAAAAATGAATTTTAAAACAAGCTACCAAATGAAACCAAACCCAACTGTATCACCTTTGCTTTCTTCCAGTTAAAACATTGGTACAAGAAAACGGGCACGGTGTCAGTAGCATTAACAAAAAAAACAAGGATGGCCAGCTTTCCGTCAGATACTCTGGCAAGTGTATTTATCATGTGTGTCTTTGAATGAAAACTAAATTTTAAAAGAAGCTACCAAATGAAACTAACCCCAACTATATCACCTTTGCTTTTTCCAGTTAAAACATTGGTACAAAAAAAACAGGCACGGTGTCGGTAGCCTTGACATTAAAGGAAACCAAGGATGGCCAGCTTTCCGTCAAATATTCTGGCAAGTGTATTTACCATGTATCTTTTTGGATGAAAACTGAATTTCAAAACAAGCTACCACATGAACCTAAGCCCAACTGTATCACCGTGTTTCTTCTTATAGGTCCAGAGGAATTTGCGAATTTCGCAAAAAGTCCTCTTGTTGTAAAAGAATTTTTGAGGGTGACAAATGAGAAAGTCACCCATGATGACAGCCTATATCCAGGTACCGGATTGATATATTATTATCAAATGCAGTGAATTTGGAATGCAGTGTTGTATTTATATTGAGCTAATATTCAGCAGGGCCTCCCACATTTTCACAAAACTAAAGTGTTTTTGGAAAATATTTTGCATCACTGGCAACTTGCATCAGAATCCATATGTTTTCTCAAAATGAGATCTATGTTGTATTTACTCCACGTGTTATGATAAATCCTTCTCCAACTATGTAATTGTAATTATATCTGATTTTGGTAATGTGTGAAGTAGCAGAATTGATTGTGATGTAAATTTGCTTCTTCCACAGTTGTTATGGACAATCAGGTCCTGGACTATTTAGGAAAAGAAGAAGATTTGATAAATCTCACGATTTTCCAGAAACGGCGGCTTGTCAGCAAAATTGTAACTGGCCCTGGTATTGATCGTGCCAAGTTGAATTCTTTGGATGGAATGGTATGTTTTTGCACATGAATGAAAATTTCTTCTTTTTAACAGTGCTCAAGAAAAAATATATACAAAAATAAATACAACAGCAAAATTGTTTTTGCCGCTTTTACCTAAAAATAAATTTTTAAAGGTGTTTAGACTTTTTTCTTCATTGGTCTCAATTTGAAGACGGTTAGGCCACGGTTGATCTGTCATAACATTGCTCCTAGCATTGCGAATGAACTGTGGCTTCGCAAATGTCACAAGACAGACATGATTCGTTTAGAAGTGAGGTTGATTTTGATAGCACCTTAACCTCTAAGTATATTCAAAATGTATATATATATAAGGCATTTCTGTATGTATGTATGGAGTTTAAAAATTGGTAAAAAAAACTGAAAAAGTTTCAATGACCTTGACACTGCAAGAAAACAATGATGGTAAGTTGTGCGTCAGATAATCTGGCAAGTGTATTTACCATGTGTGTCTTTGGATGAAAACTGAATTTTAAAACAAGCTACCAAATGAAACTAAGCCCAACTATATCACCTTTGCTTTTTCCAGTTGAAAATTGGTACAAGAAAACAGGCACGGTGTCGGTAGCCTTGACAATAAAGGAAACCAAGGATGGCCAGCTTTCCGTCAAATATTCTGGCAAGTGTATTCACCATGTATCTTTTTGGATGAAAACTGAATTTCAAAACAAGCTACCACATGAACCAAAGCCCAACTGTATCACCGTGTTTCTTCTCATAGGTCCAGAGGAATTTCCGAACTTCGCAAAAAGTCCTCAAGTGAAAAAAGAATTTATGAGGGTGACAAAGAAGAAAATCACCCATGATGACAGCCTATATCCAGATACCGGATGGATATATTATTATCAAATGCAGTGAATTTGGAATGCAGTGTTGTATTTATATTGAGCTAATATTCAGCAGGGCCTCCCACATTTTCACAAAACTAAAGTGTTTTTGGAAAATATTTTGCATCACTGGCAACTTGCATCAGAATCAATATGTTTTCTCAAAATGAGATCTATGTTGTATTTACTCCACTTGTTATGATAAATCCTTCTCCAACTATGTAATTGTAATTATATCTGATTTTGGTAATGTGTGAAGTAACAGAATTGATTGTGATGTAAATTTGCTTCTTCCACAGTTGTTATGGACAATCAGGTCCTGGACTATTTAGGAAAAGAAGAAGATTTGATAAATCTCACGATTTTCCAGAATCGGTGGCTTGTCAGCAAAATTGTAACTGGCCCTGGTATTGATCGAGCCAAGTTGAATTCTTTGGATGGAATGGTATGTTTTTGCACATGAATGAAAATTTCTTCTTTTTAACAGTGCTCAAGAAAAAATATATACAAAAATAAATACAACAGCAAAATTGTTTTTGCCGCTTTTACCTAAAAATAAATTTTTAAAGGTGTTTAGACTTTTTTCTTCATTGGTCTAAATTTGAAGACGGTTAGGCCACGGTTGATCTGTCATAACATTGCTCCTAGCATTGCGAATGAACTGTGGCTTCGCAAATGTCACAAGACAGACATGATTCGTTTAGAAGTGAGGTTGATTTTGATAGCACCTTAACCTCTAAGTATATTCAAAATGTATATATATATATAAGGCATTTCTGTATGTATGTATGGAGTTTAAAAATTGGTAAAAAAAACTGAAAGAGTTTCAATGACCTTGACACTGCAAGAAAACAATGATGGTAAATTGTGCGTCAGATAATCTGGCAAGTGTATTTACCATGTGTGTCTTTGGATGAAAACTAAATTTTAAAAGAAGCTACCAAATGAAACTAAGCCCAACTATATCACCTTTGCTTTTTCCAGTTAAAAAAATTGGTACAAGAAAACAGGCACGGTGTCGGTAGCCTTGACATTAAAGGAAACCAAGGATGGCCAGCTTTCCGTCAAATATTCTGGCAAGTGTATTTACCATGCATCTTTTTGGATGAAAACTGAATTTCAAAACAAGCTACCACATGAACCTAAGCCCAACTGTATCACCGTGTTTCTTCTTATAGGTCCAGAGGAATTTGCGAATTTCGCAAAAAGTCCTCTTGTTGTAAAAGAATTTTTGAGGGTGACAAATGAGAAAGTCACCCATGATGACAGCCTATATCCAGGTACCGGATTGATATATTATTATCAAATGCAGTGAATTTGGAATGCAGTGTTGTATTTATATTGAGCTAATATTCAGCAGGGCCTCCCACATTTTCACAAAACTAAAGTGTTTTTGGAAAATATTTTGCATCACTGGCAACTTGCATCAGAATCCATATGTTTTCTCAAAATGAGATCTATGTTGTATTTACTCCACTTGTTATGATAAATCCTTCTCCAACTATGTAATTGTAATTATATCTGATTTTGGTAATGTGTGAAGTAACAGAATTGATTGTGATGTAAATTTGCTTCTTCCACAGTTGTTATGGACAATCAGGTCCTGAACTATTTAGGAAAAGAAGAAGATCTGGTAAATCTTATGATTTTCCAAAATCGGTGGCTTGTCAGTAAAATTGTAAATGGCCCTGGTATGTGCATGTCTAGTTTAACTGCCAAGTTTCCTTAAATCTCAAATTTTTTATTCACCCTAAGATGTATGTCCTAACTGCTAAAAAATATATTCATGCTGAGCTGCATCCTAGTTCAAAATCATAAATTTTAAATATATATGCACTTCATTACAGTTATCACAGTAATACTAAAGAATGGGACTTAAACATTAAGATGATTAAAATCCTCATAGATAAAGTAAGCATAGAAATTCAAAGCATATGTTATGCATAATAGCCAGAAGAAACTACACTTTTGATAGTTTCTACATATGAGCTTTTATCAGATACTAAATTATGAAATGCTAGAAAAGGGAGTGGTAAACTTACTCATCAAATTGTTGCTACCTTGTAGAAATGTCGAAGCAAGCCAACGGGTGGAAAAGCATGCCCAAATGGTGGCCAGACAATGTTCAATTCAGGAGCCCAACCACAAGAAATCCTGCACTGCGAGGAAAAGATCTAAACAAAATCATTGAAGGGGTGCAATCGTTTCCATGTGTAGTAGCTGGAACGTGAGGCAATGAAGAGAATGTAAACAGCTTCAAGTTGTAGTTGCAATTGCAAAAAGCTTTAGGTTGGCAGATATTCTTTGCTGCAGATCTAAAAAACTTTTTAATGAAGTTTTATATCACAAAATAAATAAACTGGTTAGATAATAATGTGAAAATTCCAAAAATTAAAAAAATGACAAAAGAAAACAAAGGAAACTTATTTGTATATGTGTATGCATATGTTAGACCAGATAGCTTAACAGACAATGCAGCTACAGCAGTATTTACCCTTGTGAGAGCAAAATATAAAAATTATAGCCTGTGTAGCAATTTTAATAATGTATATAAGTATGTCAGTTTGTAAGTGAGTTTAGTTTAAATCAGAGTTCTACAAGCAACATACTCTCTCTCACTGGCTTTGTGCTCTTCACACGTTAAATAGAACTCCCTTGGTTGGAAACAAAATATTAGTGGATGGACGGTTTATCCAGTGCCTACATCTATTGTTGTTCCAATGTACACTAATCCCTCATACGCATTCATGATTTCCCTAACAAAGGTCGTATATATACCTTGCAAAATCTAGGACATAGATTCTTTAAAAAGGGGTGTTTTGAGAAAAAGTTTATCATAGAGAGATATTGGAATTTCATAAAAATCAGATTAAATTTTTACACCAGTAAAAACATTGAAAAGCACAACCAAAACAATAAGAAAAGTATCTGTGGAACTATTTTGGACTTGTTTTATGCAGAACTTTTCTCAATGGGGGCAATACTTTCATCTAGAAGAAAGGTATTTGTACCTTTTTTTATTATCTTATCTATTTGTAAACTTTTATCTTATGATTGACCTTCTTCGATGAGATGATGCTCAACAGCAACACGTGATCAAGTCTAACTCGTGACCAAATCGGGGATAACTTTATTTTTACTTTACTCTGACTTTAAAAACAAATGGCCCGACAAAAGTCTGATTTGATATTGAAGAATGGTAAAAGTAGAAGGTAGAGCGAAAGAGAACAGATGATAATTCCCGGTTTTTCTCCATTCCTTCCTATGTTTTTCACGACTGTAATAACATTGGCTTGTGTAATAAGAAAAAAGCCGATAAAATTGGCTTTATACACAGGCATGTAGATTTTCACCACAAATATTTTTTTTAGTACACTTATTTTATTAGGAAGTACTAAAAAGCTGAGAAAAACAATTCTTGCCGAAATCGTCTTAGGCGCGACGTGACCGATGTGAGTCTACATGTATGTTCAGTTTATTCGATACCAAAACAACCAACACTCGCAACTAATAATGAGCTTGTTATAATACCAAAACGACGTCAGCAACAGTTGCAGAACAACACAGTCCACTGTTGTGTAAATCGCCTTTTCAATGCTTTTCACAACACCAAAGGTGGTTGTATGCCGTTATGCCTTTCAATGATACGATTTCGAATCGAGGCTCCGAATGCGCGCGTGTTACTGTAGTTGCAGTTTTGCAATGTTTCCCGCTGATCTCTATAGACTAGATATACCGTAAATCCTCGAATTAGCCCCCTGGGGGCTTTTATATTTTTGATATTTTTGGACGAGGGCCTATTCGAGGGGGGGGGGGACTTGTAAAATTAGTGTAGACATTAAGAAGACATTATTAAAATATCTCGTTTATTTTAGTAGGAATTTCTCTATGAGCATTTAATTAATTACTACCAAAAGTATGAATTTGTTGTGGGAATTCAATAAACGCCATATAGGCAACCTCAGATGGCAACAATCATCAAGTGGAGGAGTTCAATTCGAGAATTTACGGTAGCAGTGGGGGCTTTTTCGACGTGGGGCTTTTTTGAGGGAGGGGCCAATTCGAGGATTTACGGTAGTGAATGTTAGTGAACGTTTCCAAGTTGTTGCAATACTGTTGTAGTTTCGCAATTATATTTCTTATCAATCCTCAAAGGGAGTGTTTATTGAAGCAGGGCGCTTATTTGATTTTTGTGGATGTCAAAACAAATAAAGTAAAAGAGGGCTTTTTGTATTTTTTTTATAGTTCTGGCAAAACCAAGAAATAGTAGTTCATATGCAAAAACATACCATTCAATCGAAAAAAGTTAACTTGGTAGGATCAATTTTCTTTTCTCTTAGGTCTGTTTTTTATTCGTTAAAAGATTATCTTTTATAAATATGTAATAATACGACATGAAATAAAATGTGTGCAATAAGGGTACAGTATGCGATACTGAAATTATTGAAAGCGCAGTCCAGGGAGTCCGACGAAAAGGGCTAGTGGCCATACCTCCCTCCCTACCCCTACCTTTTTTTAAAACAATAAATCTTTGCAAAACAATAAGAGTTTTTTCCATATTTTATATCATGGATGTTAAATTTCCCTTGGCAACCCCACTTTCCAACCTGTGTCGCAGCCCATGCAATCTTCAAAATGTATAACGTGTATTTGTTAAAAAATTATTTTTCTACAAGGCCCCAAAGAATGTCAACTTTCCGTAAACAACTATTACACAATACAATTTAAAGGAGCTACAATTAATAAATAACGTGAATAAACGTGATAAAGTGAAAAAGATTTATTTAAAAATAACAACGGATTGTCTCCTGAACATTCTCTCCCTCCTTGATAGCTCTGCATATGAACTACAGCTTTATATGTTCCATGTCACAGCAAAGCATAACTATCGTAACAGCTTTTTTGCTAACTTCAATGAACATTGTTCAAAATGGCATAACTTTACCACAGGTTACTCTTTCGATAATTTTTGTCTCATTTGTATTTCGGCTACTCTCACTTCCCTATCTATTCCAGGAAAAATTTTAATTGTTTTTGCATAAGGGCCAATGAGCTATTACTATCAGGCGAGATAACAACAATATCTCCTACCTTCACGTGTCTTTTCTCTTTGTGCCATTTCGTTGTTGGGGGATTCAGACCTGGTAGCCATTCCCTCATCATGCGTTGCCAGAAATGTTTCACCAATTCCTGAACATGTCGCTAACGTTTCCTTGAACTAAATGTCGGCTGGTCTACCATCTCCGACGCGAATTCTCCTTCCTTTTGGTTATGGAAATTGTGATTTGGCGTCAAAGGCATGTCATCCTCACGTTTGCTGTGTGGTACGTCAATGGTCTTAAATTCAACAATGATACTGCTCCTGTGACAGCAGTGCCCTACATTTATACAGTTTCAACGACGTAAACAACTTCAAATGCAATATAAGTTTCTTTGCCCTTTGATGAAAACATTAAAAACATAGTCCTCTAAAGATTTAAAAAAGTGTATTTGTTAAAATAACCATTGTTCGACAAGGCCCTAAAGAATATCGGCTTTGCGTAAACAGATATTATACAATGGCGTGATGCACGGTGTGCACCTTTAAGCAAAAGGCCAAGGGCTCCAAGCATTTGGGCTGCGATGGGGCCCTAAGAATGATCTTCAAAAACGGGTTTCTGATGAAAGCGTATATTTTTTTAATAACAAGGCTGCTGGAAGCGGGGGCTTGGTGGCTGGAATCCCCAATAATTGTCAAACTGTAGTATATTTCCTTTATTACAGTGTACTGAATTGGGAAGCAATACAATGGGCAGCCCATCCCCCTATAATAATTATGGAAACTTTTCATTTTCAATTCAATTAAAATTACAATTACAAATTTCACTATAACAAAGGTAATTTGCAATTGGCTAGCCTGGGTTAACATAAAAAAGAGTATTACAAGCACAAACGAAAGAAATCAAGAACAAAAAGAATAATAATAATAATAACAGGAGAAATATTTATACAGGGTAAACCTTGTCAGTACTGTGTGTACTGTTATCAATAAGAACCCTGTTAAAATTAAAATTTAGAGGAAATCTAAGAAAAGAAAAATCATATATAGAGTAAAAAACCTAAAACGTCCTTCGATATTTATATTTATAGTTAGTTTTGGAAATGATATCTAATATGAATTTTGTTTCGACTGCACTGTGATGTAATGGACTCCTGGTCTATATTGCTTTAAAATTTTGCATTTAATTTTTGAGAATATCACATATATTTGATTTCCTAGATGAAACAGTTCGAAAATATTAATCTATCTTAATATATTTTCAAAGGCAAGTTCAAGCTGCTTTGTAAACTAAGAGTCTGGTGTCGTTTGCCGAGGCTTTTGCAGGTATTGTAGATAATCTCAAATATCTAGATATCATTAAAATTTCCTTAAACAACTTGACGTCTTACATCACAGTAAGGGAACTACTCTGGAGTTGTAATTTGGTTTGAAATAAAATTTTCACATTACATAAGGTGCGATAGTTTGGAAATTGTAATTTTGTTATTCAAACAATCTTTTGATAGTACAAAACTTGAAAATGGTTTTGAAAAAAGCAAACATTCGAGTAAGCTAAAGCTTTTCGTCTGACACTCTTCAGAGTTTAAAACGTCAGAACATAGACCGAAAACTCTACGCTAGGAAATATATATACCCAGTTATGGATGAAATAGGCCAATCAAAAACGCGAGCACATGGCTGTTGAGGTTGCCCAATTAGTGCCGCTTGCCTATAGAAAATGTTACCAACGGAGTTCTAATGTGAAAACGAACTCCATTTGTCTACACAATAGCTGTTTTTTCGTGCTCGTGTAGATAGATTCAAAAACTGCTAGATGAAACGACGATCGGGCTTTACAAAGAATCCGAAACATGTCTCCTTTATAGTTTACTCCAAATGTTTGCTTTTTTCCTAGCCATTTTCAAATTTTGTTATTGTTGCATTGCTATGTTTCGACGGTCTAACAACATGAACGGCAAAGCTAAGGGCTTGGCAAAGCGAATGGAGGACTGTTCTCGGCTGAGCATCTTTGTCCACTTTCTTGGGCATAAGTTAGATTTGGGTAAACAGGACACTCTTGCAGAAAGTGAGACAATGAAAAATGGACTTGGTGTTGTTCAAGTTCTCTACAATTTCATTGTGGCCAGCCCCAAAAGACATGAAATTTCGAGAGAAAATTCAGCATGAACCGTTTTATAAGTAAAAGGGACAAGGCGCAACGCGTTGGGCCTGCCGATGAGAGTCAGCGAAGGTAGTTTACAGGACACTAAGTTTTCTGTCAGAATAAAGACCCCAAAACCCATCAAAAAACAATGCTCTGTGCAATTGTTTCTACAATGTAATGGATTAAATTTTGAGATAAATCTATGCACGAGTTAGTGGCAATTGACATTAAATTTTGTTTGCTTTGGTGAACGGGTCATATTGGGCCCTAAGCAAAAAACTGCTACGGGGCCTCTATTTACGGACAGCAAGAAGATCCATCTACCCAAGTATGTAAAAATGAGAATTATTTTCTCATTAGCGGGAGAATTGAGTTATAGATAGAGCGTCAGTTGAAGAAAAGTTATAGAACTTCAGTTGAAAAAATTAATGACTATCCGCAAATAATGTGTCGTGGATAAAAAAGGTTGAAAAACGCTGAACTAGGCTCACTAAACTGCCTTACGCCATTGGCATTAGGGAAGGGAAGGCAAGTGTGACGACAGAAGTCATCACAATAGTTAACCTCGTTTTAATGACGTCCCCAATCATTTCTTGGCTAATATTAGAAGCTTACATTTGTTACAGCATACTCAGTAAAACTTTTGACATTTGTATTTT